AGAAATTTCCATGGCCTTCCATCCCCTGTGGTTGAAGGTGGCCCCTTGGACTATGACTACTGCATAACCACTTGTAGGTTGCACGTGTGTGGCAATTCGATGGGCATTTCACATTTCTATGTCAGAAAAGCTGCAGGGAAGGAAGCAAGAAGCTCACACCCTGGCCAGAGGTGAGGCACTCTCCACCTGCACTTGCAAGAAGCTGGTCAAAGTCTATCAAAGCTGGCTGTAGCCCTAACCGGTTTGGCTCAGTGTCTAGAGCGTCGGTCTGCGGACTCCAGGCTCCCAGGTTTGATTCCGGCCAAGGGCATGTACCTTGGTTGCGGGCACATACCCAGTAGGGAGTGTGCAGGAGGCAGCTGATGGATGTTTCTCTCTCATCGATGTTTCTAACTCTTTATCCCTCTCCCTCTCTGTAAAAAATCAATAAAATATATTATTTTAAAAAACTGGCTGTAGAAACAGTAACTTCAGTAAGATGTGGATGAGGGGATTTAAAGTGATGTGCAAGTAGTATCTGATACTGCAGAACTTTGCACTACTCAGGTTCATCCTTTCTCTTCATTAACTCCAGTCTGTCACCAAGTCTCCTTCAAGGTGCTAGCCAGCCACAACCTCTGCAAGTGGGCTTATGGAATAGCTGCAGCCCCTGCTACTGCAGCTGGTCCCAAAGCTTTATTGATAGTCATCATCTTTCTCCTCCACTATCCATTCCAAATTTCTCTCAGCCTTGCCAGCATCTCAGCTGGTCTAAGGCTGCTTGCCTAAGGGTTATCCAGACCTTCTTTCCTTAGGTTTCACCATTATCACCTGGCACAAAATACCAGGAGATGCACCAATCAAGTTCCGGAACATTCTCCCTGCCTCTATTATATAGCAGCTACTCAGGACCTTTATGTTAATAAGGGTAGATTAATCTTTCAAATACATTATTCCCCTTTGCTTTATGTCCTAGGAATGAGGAGTCCGAAGTGATCAGGTGACAGTCATGCTCCGTGGGACTCTTTTACTTTGTCTTCTGGTGGAGGTGTTCTTCCTGGGACCCAGGACCTCTAATCCATCAGAGCTTAAGGTTTCAGGAACAGGAAGCATACACTTTGAAAATGGGTTATTAGGAGTAATGGTGAAAGCAACTGGTTGCATTTACACCCTTTGGTTCCTGTAGGGACATAGCACCATATTTCAGCAATCAATACAGCACATATAGCTCATCTTTTCTCTAATCCAGAACTTTAGCTGAGCTTTCAACAGGTCGTCTGCTTCTGGGTGACGAGATATACTGGAATCTCAGTGGAATGGTCATGCACCCATTCTTACACCACCTTTGTGGTAAATTAATCCCTTGAGCAAAAGCAATGTGTGGGGGATGTCATGCCAATGGATAAGGCACTCAGTAAGCCCTCAATTAGTGGTGTTGGTTTGGTGGAGACTCTGTTGCCAGAGAATGCAAATTCATTGCCATAGTAGGTTTTTATTTCAGTACAGATGAATTGTTACCATCTCCAGGGCGGAAGGGCCACAGACCCATTGTACCTTCTGTGAAACTCTCAAGCTAGAACTTTAAATTTCACCTGGCCTCCATTTGCCCCTACTCTAACCGGATAACCACGATGTCATTTCAGGTCCCCTGGCTCATCCCCTTCATCCAACAGTCCTTGACAAGTCTAAGTACCATTTGTCCCCATTTCCACCTGGCCTCCATATGCCCCCATTGTAACTAGAGGACCATGGTGGCTCTTCTGGTCCTCTGGCATTAGTGTTAGTTCATACCCCTTATCCAAAGTCCCCCAAAACACTAACTATTCTTCTTTTTTAATGTAGTGTTACTCTGGTAAATGGCCATAGGGCCCATTGTGAAAGGACAGGGAGAATGTTTATAATCATTCTTGTGATAGATAGGGTCTTTCCTCAAGGGCACTCAGCCTCCCTTTTATTTTTATTTTACTTTTTTTAATATATTTTTATTGATTTTTTACAGAGAGGAAGGGAAAGAGATAGAGAGTTAGAAACATTGATGAGAGAGAAACATCGATCAGCTGCCTCCTGCACATCCCCCACTGGGGATGTGCCCGCAACCCAGGTTCATGCCCTTGACCGGAATCAAACCAGGGGCCCTTCAGTCCGCAGGCTGACGCCCTATCCACTGAGCCAAACCGGTTTGGGCAGCTTCCCTTTTAACCAATAAGATCTGGGTCTGTGAAGTTAAATAAATCTACAAATGTGGTAAAGGACCCAGATTTTCCACTGGGATAACTGATAGGATTTTGCTCTCCAGATCTCTTTGTCTGTTACACACACAAACAGGTAATCACCCGGTCAGCTGTTCATTAGTCTCATCTCTAAAAACACTATGATTAGCCCTTGCCGCGGATTCCTGCAGATCAAGGCAACCTGCTGGCTACTACAGACTTCCGCCTGTGTCAGTATTTACACCAGCTTGCCTCTGAGCAAGTATTGTTACATGGGTTCTTCCCATCCAGAAATCCTCTAATCCCACTGATATCAGGGGGGCTGGTTCCATAGCAGCATCTCCTCTTAATAACGCTCACCTGCGGAGGACAGGCATCACCAAATTTGTTAAAAAATGTTGATGTCCCTCTCACCAGTGAATTCCTCCTTGCCTTGCTGAAGGGAATGTGCTAGGTTCTAGATATCACGTAACAAATTCAGTCTGACATGAGCCTTTGGATGTCATCCTTTATATTAAGCCAAAGCAATTTCAGCATCTCTGCCTCATTTTCCTGTTGGCCATCATCACATCCAGTCTTCAAGGAAACATCCCCGCAACATATTAGGACCACCTCCACATGTTATTAGGATATTGAACAACACGTCATGAGTGAGTATTCCCATGTCATAAATTCCCTATGCAGCCAGCCTTGTTTTATTCCTCCTACTAGTTCAACTCCTGCATGATTTTCCCTGGTTCCTTTTAGTATCTAATGTGGGACCTGCAATTACTGTAAATCATTTCCTCCTGAAGTAAGGCTATTTCCCTGCTCAGGTGTCTGAGATCTGATCCCAGGTACTGGCATACAGAGGATTTGTGGCATCCTGTATCCTTTTGTGAGTTATGTTCTTCACACGAGGGCTCCAAATCTTCACCGGGTCTCAAGGCAATAGGAGGATGCTCTCTTTTAGCAAGGAGAATTAGACTGCTCCTACCAATGTGGGGAGTTCAGGGAAATCTGAGAGTGATTCCCAGTGATCTATTCAAATGCCTGTATTCCAGGTTTCAGCATTACATTGTTTTCTACCAGGGCCTGAACTCAGTACACCCGAAGAGGCTGTGCCTTCCGTCTCCTTTGCAGCTATGTTGTCCTGATTATTTGATCCTGGGCCTGATTTTCAACACAGACTTTCCTGCAGGTGCAGGAAATGATGATTTCCTATAATAGTGAGTGTGGGTCAACCCTTCACCTTCCACCTGTATCTCTGCCCAACCAACCTCATATAAGCTTCTGAGTAGCTGCATGTCACTGGCTATCACCACCTCATATCCCATTACCAGTGGGGTCTTCATTGCCATTTGACTGGTGGGTTACACAGTTCCCAAATCCCATTCTAATTATCTGCTTTCCAGGGCTAATCCTCATACTGGCCACCTTTCCCACAGTACCCCTGAAAGCAGAATGTGAGACATCAAGCTGCATGAGAGTAATTTATTCGAGAATGTGTTGCAAGTAGCAGAAGTGATTAACAGGAGAATGACATAGAGAAGGATGAAAAGGCAATATAAGAATGTATTATCAAATGGGCCATTGCTGTGAACTGGTTCTGATCACATAGGACATTCTGGGAAATCTTATGAAATGTGTATCAATACTGTCCATCCTGGGATTGAAGGGGAGAGTCATTTATTCACCAGTTCCTTTGATCAATGATGGGCCCACAAAGGTTAAGACCCCACACTTCCAAGTTTAAGTGTTGGGTGCTGAATGGATTCCCTCAAGGATCAGAGAAGCCTCAGGGATCAGAATGTAAGAGGTCTCCATTGCAGGTTCAGGGCCAGCACACAGTTGAGTTACACCTGAGTGAAGCTAGTGAAAGCCTGAGTGCAACGGTCCTAAGCAGCAGAGGCTGGAGTCAAAGATGAGGCTGAGAAGATCTGCATAATATAAATTAATGTGAAAGAGGCCTGATTTGCAAGAGGCTTACTAGTAGGTATGGGTGGGCCATAGAATTGGTACCTACCATCATCATGTATCTACACCGAACAAAATATAAAGGGAATTGAAATGATTTGTAGATTGCGAGGATTGAGTGAAATAATGCAGGTGAAGCTCCTATCAACTTCAGTGTGCAATAAATAGCAGCTTTTAAAAAATCTGTATTATTCAAATTTTGATCATAGGGCACAGCTCTTGGCAGGATACATTTGTATCACAATAAACACATGCTGAATCAGGCTGAAGATGTTGAGGTCCATAACTTGTGTCTGCCAGCAGCACCCCTTGTCGATTTTACTTTCACTACCATAAATGCTGTCCTCTGAAACTCCAAATTGTTGGTTTGGGAGTTTATTTTTAGAGAAATAGCAAAACAAACAAACAACACACACACACACACACACACACAAATAAATAATTATAGATGCCGCTACAATGGGGAAAAGGAGGTGTAGCAGGTGGGTGTGTTAGGGTGTACTTTAAATTTCTTGCCCACTAGATGGTGGAACAGAGTCCCTATCCTGACAACAGGATGCTTTCTCACAGGTTTGAGTCTCTCTCACAACGCCACAGAAGACTTTGCACGTAGAAGAAACCCAATCCATTAAATGTTTTCAAAAACTTTCGCTTGTTAAGCAGCGAGCTGAAACGACAAAGGTGGGGAAGGTTAGAAAGAGATGAGAAGCAAGGCAATACAAGGACTAGGGGAGCTAAACTACATTTCCCAGAAGCCCACGGGTTGGACCTACAACACCCATCATGCACGTGTTCCCGCTCTCGTAACCGGTCGGTGCCTCCACGTTTCCGACGAGCGCAGAGAGAGACGCGGGGTCCCTACGGTGCGGCAGCGACGGCTCTTACCGCCACAGGATCCTAAGCCGGGGCTATTCCCGCCTTCACTCTGAGGCAAAAAGACGCTAACCGCCGTCCGGGCGGACCCACGAGCCACGTGACGAGCCCGGGTCATGTGACTCCGAGCCAGGAGGCTGACGTCTGTTACCCAGACAACTGCTGGGCCCCCAGCAGACTTCCCGGCAAAGCGCGGAATTCGGAGGCGAAGGTGGGTGAGGCGGCGACACTGCTTCCCCGGGGCCGAGAGTGTCCTCGGAGCTTTCGTTTTGGGTCCCTCCCCACCTCCGCCCGGACTCCAGCTGCAAGTGCGCCTTTGTCTTCCCGCCGCCACCGGAACCCGCGCTTTCTGGAGCTGGGACCCCTGCCGAGTGGGGTCCCTGTGGGTGGGATCCCCTGCGCGCCTCCCCTCTCCCGCCTCCGGGAGAGGAGGCTGCCGTGCGGGGCGCGCCGGGGAGGTGAGCTCCTAGGGTGCGGGGAGAGCTCTATGCTGCAAGGCACTGCTGCATCGTTTTTGTTGACTTTCCCTCGCGACAAAAGGAACAACTTGATTCTGGTTGATGTGTATATTTCATTAATTTTATTTTAGGTAGATTTTGAGACTTAATCGGCTCCATTTGATTCCATTTGTCTGTAGTATTTGGAATCATCCCCGTGCCTGGAAAGTCTGTTTTGCAAAGCTCTTAATAATGGATTGATAATGAGCTGAGTGATGAGTCAGCCCAAATTGTCCTGTGCTTTGCCAAAAAGAAACGGTGTTTTTGGATTTCCTAATTTTTAATTTTTAAAAGATTCCTTGAGAGGACCAGGTTTGTTTAAGGGATGTTAAATTTTAACACACGCGCGCGCATACACACATGATAGAATTAGGAAATATTGTGGAGGCCTTGAACAATAGGATGTTAACAATAAAAATGTATTTCTGGACTCTAAGTAAAAGGCAGACTGTGACAGCTGCTTTTCCAAATCAGTTTTGTGAATGAATTAGGACTCTTGCCCAGCTTACTGGTCCATAAGTGTGCATATATACTAAAATCAGAAAAAAAATGAGGTTTAAGTCTGGTTGTTTTCATGATGTGATATAAATTTCCTCAAAAGATGTTTATTGTTTCTTGTTACTTAGTGTTCCAATGTTGAAATACTTTGGAATGTTTATCTTGGCAAGTGAAAATTATTGATTATGGCTCACTATTCCAAAGAAGAACTGGATAAAGAGTTTGAACAGTTCATGAAAGAGGTAAGTGTTTATTTTTAAAAGGTGTATTGTAAATTGGTCTCGTAAGAAATTCACCCTTCAGTTTTCTCTTTCACCTCTAAGATCCAGTCCATCGTCAAGCTTTGTCTCCAGATTATACCTATTATCCTTCTATTCCCTTCCTTTTCACTACCACTATCCTAGTCCAGGACACCAACAGCTCAGCTGGGCTACTGCAGCAGCTCCCAAGTACTGTCCCAGCATTCCTTCACCATTCTGCAGCCTGCATGATGTGTTATATAAATCAGACTCTGTTGGCCTGCTGTTATCTATACTAATAAAAGGGTAATATGCTAGACAGGACGTCTTCAAGGCGTCCTTCCAGACGTCCTCCTGGACAAAGCCACGGTGGCGGGGGCTGAGGCAGAGGTGGTTAGGGGTGATCAGGCTGGTAGGGGAGAGCGGTTAGGGGCGATCAGGCAGGCAGACAAGTGAGCAGTTAGGAGCCAGCAGTCCTGAATTGCGAGAGGGATGTCCCACTGCCGGACATCCCCCGAAGGGTCTGGGCTTGGAGAGGGTGCAAGCTCGGCTGAGGGACACTCCCTCCCTCAAACCCCCATGCACAAATTTCTTGCACTGGGCCTCTAGTATAGAATAAAAGTCCAAACTCATTCCCAGGGTTTATAAAGCCCTGGATGATTTTACTCATGCCTATTTCACTGACTTTATATCACTCTTACTTATTACCCACTTATGTTACAGTGGCCTTTTCCACTCTAGACATGTCAAGCTCAACTCATAGTAGGAGCTTTGCACTGGCTGTTCCCTCTGCCAATAATGTTGTTCCCCTATTCTTCACTGGGCTGGCGAAAATCTCATCTTAAATATTACTACCTCAGAAAAGGTTTTTTCTGTTCATCCAGTAAGAAAGGAACCACCAAGTCACTTAGTATACCATGTATTTATACTATACAAAAGCATAATAATACTATGCAAGTATTATTTTACTTATATAGGTCTATTTTCTGTTTCCCATCATAAGAATGCTCAATCTATGACAAGTTGTAGCATATGTCAATGTCTCATTCTTTTTTATAGCTTAATAATATTTTATTGTATGGGTTTACCACATGTTTACCCACTTACTAGTTTATAGACATTTGAGTTCTTTCCACTTTTTGGCAATTATGAATAATTATGGTATGAACAGTCATGCACATGTTTTTGAGTGGATGTACGTTTTCATTTCTCTTGTGTATATACCTAGTAGTAGGAATGCTGGGTCATATGGTAACTCTGTTTAACCTTTTGGGGAACTGCCAGACTGTTTTCTAAGTGGCTGTGCCGTTTTCCATTCCCAGCAACAGTGTATTAGTGTATTAGGGTTCCAATTTCTTCATATCCTTGCAGCACGGTTAATTACTTGGGGACCAGCTTTTTTTCTTTTGTTTTTTGTTGTTTTTGTCACCGTTTTTGTTAATCCTAACCTGAGGATATTTTTCCCATTGATTTTTGGAAAGAGTGGAAAGGAAGGGGAGAGACAAAGAGAGAGAAACATTGATGTGGGAGAGAGACACATTGATTGGTTGCCTTCCACATGCACCCCGATGGGCACTGGGAAATCGAATCTACAACCAAAGTACATGCCCTTGACTGGAATCAAACCTGGGACCCTTCAGTCCATGGGCCGATGTTTTAACCACTGAGTCAAACCAACTAGAGCTTTTGTTTTGTTTTAAATATGTTTTTATTGATTTGAGAGAGAGAGACATCAATTGGGGATCAAGCCTGCAATCCAGGCATGTGCCCTGACCAGAATCGAACCAGCGACCTTTTGGTGCATGGGCTAAGACTCCAACCAGCTGAGCCATACCAGTCAGGGCTGTTTTGTTTTTAATTATTGTAATCTGGAAAGCAGTGCAATATTGTCAAAAGTGGAAATACCTACTATGTATTAGACAATAGGGTGGGCATTCTGCATTTTTATTTGTTTTTTGATTTTTTGCCCCAAGCATGCAAGGTCAGTGCTATTATGACTATTTTTAACAGATGAATTAAGTAAAAAGAGGTGGAATATTCCCTAAGCAATAGAGCTAGCATATTTTGAAGTTGAAGTTTCAACTCAGATCTGTCAGGCCCCCATACCTTTATACTCCTTCCACACTCTTATGTGGCCATGGAGTTTAGAAGGAGTAGACTGAGTCTGAGACAGATTCTCAGAATTTGGTAAACAGGAGGATGTAGGGAGGAGAGAGAAATGGGGCATTTTGAGGTGATAGTGAAGTTTAGAGACTGAGTGGAAGGTGATGCAACTAAAATTCAGGTGGGATAAATAACATATTTTCTTCCCTCCTCTCTTCCTGCCTGGCTGTCAGGGAAGACAATTAGTTGTTTTGAACGTTTAAAAATTGACAGTCTTACTTATCATTGAGCTAGAGTTGCTTGGTTGGCAGGTGGAAATGTGTGTTGTCATCTTGGAAGTTCAAAAGGTCACTCTGGTAGCAATGTCCTTGTTGGGAGACTAAACAGTGTCGTAGAAAGTGGAAAGGTTTTAGTCACAAAGATCTCAGTTTGAAACCCAGCTCTGTAACACCAGCAGTAGCCTCTTTAAGCCTCGTTTAACCTCTTTAAACTGTTTCCCTGTCTGTAAATCTCTTCTAGATTACTTCAAGATTGAGATAATTTGAGAATAGATCCTGACATAGAACAGGTATAGGATCAATGTTGATTGCTTCTTTGGGAAGAGTGCGTAGAATGAGAATAAAAGGAACCAAGAGCAGAGTCCTGGGGAAGTCTAGTGTTAAAGAAACAGACATTGCCAAGAGCTATTAAAGTAGGTGGGTGAGGAAGGTTACTGAGCTTTTCCCACCAGATCACCAAGTTTTCCACAGAGCTTGAAGGGCATGAATGCTGTGAAGTCAGAGGTAGGGAGTTTCACGAAGTGTCAGAGTTGGTCACCGGTATCAAGTTCCATGACGTGATCAGGGAAGGGGGCTGACCGTGGTCCTTTGTTGGTGGTATTAGGAGGTCTTTGGTACCTGGAGGAGAGCTGTTTTGGATGAGAACCAGGTTTTAAGGATTGTTTGGCTTGGTTTAGTGTTGTTGGTTTTTAAACAGAGTAGCCCAGAGTGTTCATTCTTCCAGTCCACAATTGTGCCTGGGGATGCAGTGATGAGCAGGTTTTTCATCTGAAGGAAGGGTGAGAGGAGGGGGAGGAGGGATTAAGATACAAAGATAAAATGGGGTAACCAAGGAAGTAACAACTTGGAGAGGTGGGAAGTGACCCCTCTGCAGGTTCTCCAGAAAGTGGAAGAAACAATTTCTCTTCCGAGAGAGAAAAGCAATGTTTTAACAGGTGAGTTTAGTGATGGAGTGAGCGGGAAGGGGGTGGGTTTTGATTGAAGGTCTTCTATTTTCTCAGTGCGGAGAGAGGCCAAGTTACTGGCTAAGTCAGGGGGCTAGGTTGGGGTTAGAGTACGGAGTTTAGGGTTGTAGTAAAATTTGGGTCTGAAGAGTTGAAAAGGACAAATAAATATTTGTTAAATCCTATCAATTACTGTGACAAAATGCTAATTTCTCTGGTAAACACCTAAAACTCAGCTCTCCCTGGTCTTAGAATTCTGCGTTCTAGAGTGATGTTAGGTAATTTTGCTCAATCATTATTTATTCTTAGACCCTCAAAAATGTCTAAAAGAGGATTGTATTTTTCTTTTTTTCCTTTCCTGATTTTCTTGATCAAATTTTCTTTATTTCTTTGTTGTTATTGTTCTCCCTAGTTAGTTTACGTGTTTAATTCTGTGTATGAAATTGGTGTTCAGAGATATGTGCTTGATTTTTAACTTATTTTGGTCATATATGTTTAGAAATATGAATTCATACATTAATGCTGAGAATATTGCTTATGTATGGAATAGTTGAACTGTGAGAGAAGGAAGAAACATTTTAGTGATGAATCTGGAATTCTCAAATTTAAAATTTAGTAGCTTATATCTGATTCAGCTTTCAGATGATTCTTTTGAAAATTCAAACAAAACACCTAGACAACCTAAAAGAGAAGTGAAAAAGAAAGACACACTGCCATGGTGGATAACAGAAGGTGATTTCGAAGATGGTGGTAAATATTGCTGATTTTTCATTTCACATTATTTGACCACAAGGGGTCAGTCAAAACTTTTAATTCTGGATTTTGTTACTGTACTATAAATATATAAAGACAGTAATTTGAATTTACTTTCTTCACTTTATTATATACAGTATTATATACTTGAGAGTCTATGTTTCTGCATTATTAGGTTATTTTACATTGAGGTCATTTTTATTTACTCAAATTAAGATGATGAATAATATCAGTATGTTTATATATAATTATATTTAATGGTAAATTGATTTAAGGTGATTTAATAAAATATCCTGACAACATATTAATGTCATTGCATGGGCAGAATTTAACAAATCTATAGATTTTTGGTATCACAGTTTCTTATAACATTAGTAAAATAAATTATCACAGAACTATTCCTCATTGCATTGTTACAAATAGAAAATTACTCTCTGGAGCAGCAGTCGCCAACCTTTCGGACCTCACGGACCACCAGTGGTCCGTGGACCACCACTTGGCGACCGCTGTTCTGGAGTGTTTTCTTCAGTGTACTGTGTATGGTGATCGTTGTATCTCTAAGGAACTGAGACTACCATGAAATACCTATGTTCACACTGCTTGCGGGTCATTAAGCACCATTTTATAAACTGATAAGATTTAGTATCTCTTCTCTTGGGGGAAAATTTACCCATGGCTTTTTTCCCCATACAACAGCCCAAATGCCCTAATGTGATAGTTACGGCTCTATCTAATCTGACTGGAACCCTCCTTTCTAGCCTTATGCACTCCAGCCATATTCAGTTTTTCCTTCTCTGCTGGAAGCATCATTGGCTCCATGCCTGTGTGCGTTAGCTCATGCTTTCTTGCTCTAGAATGCCTTTCCTCTCATCCTTCTTGTCCAGTCAAGTTTGGTATCACCTCTTTTGTAATCCTTCCCTAACTCTTCTAACTCCCTTACCAACACAATTATTTCCTCCTTTGTTTCAGTGTCAAAACACCATAATAGCATTTATGCATTGTGGTTATACTTGTAACCTACTGCTGAGATCGGCAGCTTTGTGAGGGCAGGAAACACTTATTTTCCTTGTATCCCCTGACCCTTAATGTGTTTAACAAATGAATGTAAGAGTGAATTTGATAGTCATTTATCTGTTCTTAATAATGTAAATAAGGAATTGATTAATTGAAAAATTCAGTGCATTTTTTTTTTCATAAATCCCCAAACTATACAACAGCGTTAAAGTTTGCATGTGAAGAATTCTTTTTTAGAATCTTTCCGTCCGTTGTAAAGGATATAATATGATGAAGTGCTATTGGAATTGTTGACAAAGATTTGAGAGTTAATTAGCATTAAAGTCTCTTTTTTAGAAAATAATCAGATGGAATGATGTGTAAATTCACTTCAAAGGGAAAGAATAGGTCCTGGACCAACACTCGAAGGTAGTCTGACTAAAGGTATTACTAATTTTTAAAAGGATTTATCAATCAGTGATGGATTTGACTAGTAAAGGATGCAAGGAAGGATACTTAAGAAATAAACTTTGCCCAGCTGGTGTGGCTCAGTGGTTGAGCATTGACTCTTGAACCATGAGGTTAAGGTTCAATTCTGGTCAGGGCACATGCCCAGGTTTTGGGCTCAATCCCCAGTAGGGGGCATGAGGCAGCCAGTCAATGTTTCTCAGCATTGATATTTCTAACACTCTCTCCCTCTTCTTTCCTCTTTCTGAAATAAATAAAATCATATTTAATAAATAAACACATAAATAGAAACAAACTTTGACATTGTCCTTTTACACACAAGGGAGAGAGTTTCTCCACCCAAGGGCATAACCTGATCCCTGTTCAGTCACAAACTGTAATAGAGTTTATGGTATGTTCTGAGTACCAGGTGACTCTTAGTACTAGATGATTCCTCTCATCCAGGTGTAGAAGCTTCTGAGGGAGATGGCAACACCCTCTTGAGGAGAGGAACCCATTACCCACCCTAGATAGATGCCATTAAACGTCAGCATTGAGAACTCCAGCCTTATAATTTTGCTTTCTCTTTGAGTTACCAGAAGGACAAAATGTTCTGCCTAGAGCAGCGTTCTCAACCTGTGGGTCGCGACCCCTTTGGCGGTCGAACGACCCTTTCACAGGGGTCGCCTAAGACCATCCTGCAGATCAGATATTTACATTATGATTCATAACAGTAGCAACATTACAGTTATGAAGTAGCAACGAAAATAATTTTATGGTTGGGTCACAACATGAGGAACTGTATTTAAAGGGCCAGAAGGTTGAGAACCACTGGCCTAGAGGGTAAAACCATCTAATCCTCCTGCTGGGTGTCCTCTTCATTACCAGTAACTCAGTTGCACCTTGGTTTCGGTTATAGTAGTCTCTTGTGAGCTCGGTTAGCATGGGTCACATCCCTGCGTCAGCATTGGAACCAGGTGAAACCCAGACAGACAGCACCCCAGCCTTGGCATGCACTTTCTCCTTTGACGTGTCTCTTGATTTTCTGCAGCTGTGGAAGTTATTTGAGTTATGGAACCATTATGCACACCTAAAGCCATAAAATAAATAGATTCTAAACCCTTTCCAAGAGGACACTAATTAGGAAATTGCATACAAAATTTGTGACTTCTTAAGGCTTCCTGCAAAGCAAAAGTTATATTTTCCTAATCTTAATACGTATTTCTATCATGTAATATAATCTATTTTCTCTATCAGTTTTTTACAACAAACGTGTAGCATTGGGATAAAGAAATTTTGATGTTACATAACTTTTTCATTGTTTTCTGTTGCTTTTGGAATAAAGAGAAAATTTCACTCCTGGCCTTTGAGGATGAGAATGGTCTAACCATCAGCTCCTGCTCTGGGCTTATTTCTCCCCTGACTTACCTTTACTCTCTAGTCTAGACCCACCTTCACTGGCTTTTTTGCATCCTCTGATATGGCTGTTCCCTCACATTGTTGACCCTTTGTACCTCTTCCCTCTACCTGCAATTGTCTCCTTTTCCATTTCAGCTGGTTATTTACTACTCTTCCTTCACATAGGGCAGACACTGTTCTTTAAAATAGCATGGTGCACTGTATAAAAGTGCTGTGCTCTTTTCACCCTCATAATGCAAAATTTTAAAATATTCTTAAGATACACTGCAAACAAATGTAATTTTTCTTTTGTGAATTTTAGGTTTGATGGATTTTTATTTAATAGCATAGATTTATTTTATAGCTACTGTCCACAAAATTAGTATAATAGTATGGTGTTGGCATAGTTGTCAAAACAATGTCCTGAATATAAATATCCAGTTATATTAAATCCCATCCCTAGGACGGCTTGGAACAAATGTAAGCTATCTGAAAACAAAGGTGACTTCTCAGCCTATTATGGAAATAGAAGAGGAGTCTGCTGAGAGGATTCAGTTTCTCAAGAGCAGTGGGACCTCTATCCTAAGTATTGACAGCTTAGAAACAAATGGTAAGAAATGTGAGACGTATGAGTTGATAGGTTAGTTACTATGCTTATAATCAGAATTTTTACAAAAATTACAATCTTGAAGCACTTAGATTTAATATCTTTCTAAAAAGTTTACAATTACACTTATAGAGAAGCCTTATAATCTTGCTTATTGATTATGAATATACATCTGCTTATTGATTATGAATATACTATATTGGGTGAAAGATTAAGTAAAGTATGTTTTATATTTTTTAAAATTTTACTATATAATGTTAAATGCATCACTAAAATTAATTTTATCAAAATTCTGTATGTTAATAAAATGTATTTGTGCCTTCACTTAGAAAGAGTAGTTTCTGAGCTCAATCATAGTGTTCTCGGATTGGGACTGGACACATTCGAAGAAAAAGAAGAAAAAGAGCAATTTTTTGCCAGACTTGAGAAAGGGTTAACATCTTCCATTGATTATTCAAGATTAAATAAGGAATTGGATTCTAATGACTCCACACATTTTAAAGCTTTACATAGGTAATGTAACTATATTATAAACTAATCGTTAGATGATTTTTTTGTGTGTGTTTTTCTAACTTTTTGGAAGACTGGTATATACTTGGACTAAAATGGGTAAGTATTATAACAGGCAAAAGTAGAATCTTATTTTTAACTCTATTCTCTGTTTATTATGTTGGTCAGAGTTTTTCTTTTATGTGAACAGAATACATTGATTTGTATTCGAGAGCCCACTCTCCCTCCAGATATCTGAATGTCATGCCTGAGATATTACTCAGACTAACAGCACATTGCCAGAAAGACCTTACTAGGAAGATAACTTACCAAGTGATTTTCCACAGATAAGGTAAATAACTGAGTTCAGGTAGCTGTTAGATACTCAGAGGGGAAAGGAACAGAAACGGGTTGGGGAACCAGGGAGCAAAGACACAAACCAGGGTTTGTGTCCTACCTTTGTGTATATTTGACCCTAATGATTATTTGAACACCTCGTTTATTCTGGAAATCCTGCTAGTTGACTGAGCTTGTCCTCTGTAAGTAAGGTAGACTTTTGACATTTTCAAGATCTTTGTGAAACCTGAATCTTTCATTTCCTCAGTTTTATATATCATTTAATATTTTAATTTTAAGTGAAAGATTATAATTCTAAGATTTTGAAGAACATCAAACTATAATTATTAGTACCTGCTTTCCTCACGGGGCTTAGTTTCTTACAGATGGTGGACAAAGCAGTGACTACCATGGACTGTGTGGGCTCTGAGATTGTTACCCTACTTGGACGTTAACAAGTTAGCCTGCCAGTTTTATGAATGCTGACAAGATTCCTGGGTCAGAAACAAAGGGCTTTATTTCTCAAAAATAAAGGCTTTATTTCAACAGAATCAGTTCAGTACCTGAGTGCCAAATTCATTTGCCTCAGTTCCCTATGCCCCACACGGCCCACAGGGCAACACAAAGAGTCCATGATGGCTGTCGGCACACATGGTGGGTTACTTTACAGGAGAGGACCTGTCACTGAGCATAGAGAATCTACTGCTTTATAGTAAAGTGCAAACAAGCCTTCTCTTTGGGCAGAAACATTGCTTCATCTCTCAAGGTTGCTCACGGCCAACACAACCCTGAGAAATGACTAGGAAAGGGGGGGTTCATTCCTTGCATTCTTGGCATACCCATCAGGAACATGCAGACCCATGGTGATTGCCTTAGTGACAACATAGATTAAGCCTGTATAGGTTTATTAGTCACAGGATTTTGCCCCTTTGCAATATTTAACTTTTTTTCTGATTTCTTAACAAAATTCTTAACTACTGATATTTTTGCTCTAAAACAGACTAGTCAGAGTGCAGCACAGTATTGAAATGCAAAATTATTTTTCGCTATTACTAATATCTCTAATAATAAAAGAGTTAAATGCTAATTAGACCAGATGTCCTTTGAGACAAAGCCACAGCAGGCGGGGCCACCGCAGTAGAGGCCCTTGCAGAATTTTATGCATTGGGCCTCTAGTAGTTTTACAATTTTTTGGACCTTTTAATCTCACTGGCAACAGGATTGATGGACTGAAAAAGGTGGAACTGATTCCTGGGTTTGAAAAAAAGCATATCTGAACTAATATATCCAGTGCAATTCAGACTTGCTCCAGCTTCTCTGTTACCTTGCTGAGTTTTTCTTGCAAGCATGTCAAACTCGTGGCTGGCGGGTTTAAATGAGGCATGAGGCCCACTGGCCATGGGTTTGACTGGCCATGAGCTTGGTAAGACTCCTGTTTAGCTCCTATTTCAGGAGTAAGTTGCTTGTTAGCATGTAAATGACTGTGGTATTTTTTTCCTGGCCTCCTTGTAGACTTCAGTGGTTCTCATAACTTGTCAAGTCCTAATCTTTAGTGTAAAAAGGACATCTGGAGTCTGAGACATGTAAATGCACAAATTTATGTATAGAGTTAAAAATTATGGCATGTTTTCCTTTGTATTATTTTGTCAGCTACAATTAAGCTGTAAGGAAATGTTATTTTCAAAATGTTTTGCTTATAGCTCCCAAGTTTTTTGCTTTTGATAGAACTTGAGAAGAAATACATAATATTAGAGGTTTTAAAAAATATACACGAAGGATTTCATGGAAATGTATTATTAACATGTAATACTAAATTAAATAAATATTTTTTTCTAGTAATCAAGCTAATATAGAACTAACTGAAGATAAACATGAGAATGAGTCAAAACTTGAACTGGCAGGTAATTTCATTGGTTTAAAATTTACAGTATTTGAAAAGATAATATAGCTTTTAATAAAGATATTGGTAAGAAAAAAATAATTAAAGAGAAATCATATTGTCTTGGAAAGAGCTTCAAACAGGTAGAGCGAATTGCTTGTGTTGTAACCTGAGCCACCAGGAAGTTGTTAAAAGTCCACCACTGCCTTATTTGTTGGGAGTGGGCTGTGGACCAGTTGGGAAGACAGAAAAAAGGAGTTTTGTGCTAGTAGCAGGGAAACCTGTGGAGCCAAGACAAATACCTTTAAAGCTTGATTGTGGCAGTACATCTTTTTCCATCTACTGACTTTTAATGTATCTGTGTTTTAAAATGATTTTCTTATAGATACCATATAGCTGGGTTTTGCTTTTTTTATCCAATCTGACAATCTCTGACTTTTAATTCAAGTGTTTTTACACTTTATAAAAATATATTTCTTGGATTGATTATTTACTGTATTGCTATTTGTTTTTGTATCTTTCCATCTTTTTTTTTATTTGGTTTATTTGTGTTTTTTTTGTCTTGCATTTTGTTGGATTGAGTATTTATAGTATTCCATTATCCCTTCTTTTGGCTGGTTATACCTCTTTTTGCTGTATTTTTTGTCTTAATTGCCCTAAGATTCACAATATGCAGCTTTATCTTATTAGAGTCTACTTTCAAACAATATTTTACAATTGCTGACAGTTCTATAGCTGATAGTAGTAGAACTAGGTAGTGAGTCCAAGACTACTGGCTCCTGGTTGCGCTCTTAAGTGTTATATTACTTGCACTGTTTCTTATACTACCTGTTTGTAATCCCATAAATACTACATTCCCTTCCATTGATTGGAAGTAGTTCCCAAATCCCAAGTAGTTGTCTAAGTTCATTGTCTCCCCCCTCCTTGTACATCATCTCTTTTTAAACAAGTTTAATCTCTTAGGCTACTTAAAATTTAGTGCTTCCTACCTAGAATATTAGAATCTTCATCATTTTCATATTGGTCCTAGAACCTAGAACAATGTCTAATACAAAGTAATTTCTCAATAACTGAATTTAATTGTGTCTACTGATATTTAAAAATCCCACTGTTTTTTCTCAAATGGTGGAGAAACAAAGGTGAGCTTCTCAACTTCGAAATATAGATGCTAACCAGGTAACCTAGCTTATCTGTCTAGGTTATAATACCATGCTGTTCCAACCTCATATTCCTTATGAACTAAAGTAGAAATGTTTCTGTAGGCAGATCTCAGTGGAAGCATCTCTATTTAATTTCCAAGCCCTCTCAAGTTTATTCCCACACTTCTATTTATAGCTACATTTAAGTTGTCTCCTCCTTTCTAAAAGAAGACTGAAGGACAGTCTTTCCAAAAGCAGATTCTAGTACCTCATGCAGTCTTTCTCCCATCAGGCCATCCTGTTTCTGAATGTGATCTATCTTTTGAACTACAAGTAAGATTGCATTTTCTTCTAGAATGGTTGATTCTACCCTGTAAAGGTTATTACGCTTTACAGCCTGTAGGTCTCAGTCAATTCTTCATAAGAGCTATAAACAAGTTACAAATTGTTGAATAGATCCTGGCCAAATCATCCCTGCCTTGTCTTCTCAATAAATAGTCTGATGGAATCATGTTAACATGGACACACCCTTCCCATCTGCTGCAAAGTCATTGAGATATAATTTGGACTTTTAGCTGAGAAGTGCCCAGTCTTGGGAAACAGTGAAGGTCATATAGGCCAATATTTCCTCAGGGAAGTATCAGAGATAGACCTCTCATGAGTAGCATTTAAAGCTTATAGTAGAGATACCTACAGATACCAAAAAAATCAATCAACTTAAAAAATGAATAGCCCTAGCCTGTGTGGCTTAGTTGGTTGCACATAGTCCCATGCACCAATCCAAGCAGGGCACATGCCTGGGTTGTGGGTTCGATCCCTGGTAGGGGGCACATAGTTGCCAGCTGATCGATGTTTCTCATATCGATGTTTCGCTTTCTCCCCCTTCCTCTCTCGAAAATCAATTTAAAAGACACTTTTTTTAAAAAAAAGCAAAAGCCATGCTTTTATGAGTCAACATTTTACAAAAGTGCTGGCTTTTATAAGTAAGCAATTTGAGATTTTTGTCTTTAAAAAACAAATATTAAAATTTGTTTTAAAGATGATATAAAATCTTGGGTAGCTCTACATACTTTTAGTCAGTTAACACTATCAAAGATTAAAAATTAAAGTACTTGAAAGGACAAAAAATGGAATAAAATTAAGACAGTCTTAAAAATTGAATTATTAAATCTTTGCAAAAAAAATCTGTTAATTTATATTTATGTCAATATTTCAATAAATTATTCTTATGTGGAATTCTTCCTTTTGAAATCAGTCATTTCCTGGAAATTGATTTTTTTTATGTGATCCTTATATTTTTTAAAATTTTTTTCTTCAGAAAATTACAGTGATGATTTTGAAGATGAGGAGGATATTGATGGACCTTTGACTACTAAAGATGAAGAGACAAATTCCAAAGAAAATTCCAAATCAGAAAAAATAAGTGCACCCAAACAGGTACATATCAATTATCTATTTGACAATTTTGAAACTTCAAAATTTATAACTTCATAATTTATCACTTTAGCTGTTATTATTTGGAGAGTTCGAAATATGGAGTTCTTTATAGTCTTTTTTGTTTGTTTGTTTTTTGTTTCTTTGTTATTACATGATTCTACCAGTTAAATCTTTAATAAAATTCCATCAAAGATTATGTCATATTATATGCCATGATTAGCTTTCTACAAACAACTTTGCTTTCTGTGTATGAATCAGTGTCAATGAAATAAAAAATAAAACTATACTAGGCAAAGAACTTTATTAACCTGTTTCAAACTTTATTCCCAAGCTTCTTCAGCTTAATTAGCTGCAAAGAATGATTTATGTATAAGCAAAAACTGAAAAGAGCTGCAATATCCAGGGGCGTTGGGCTAAAAAATATTAGAGATCTAGATTTTATCAGATCCATAAACAAAATTTGAAAAAGCAGTCATAATAGAAAATACCAGCTCCCAGAAACTTCTTTAAGTTTATCTTCTTCAGAAGTTGACTCAATTCAGTTTGCTTCATTCTTGGAAGCCTCGTCAAAATTCTCCACAAGATCTGGAACTTCATCATCCTCATCCTCTCCAGTAGCAATGGCGCGTTTCCATCCACAGATTGTTTGGGCAGAGCTTCAGCCAGTCTCCTTAAACTAGTCAGACTGCCTGCACCGAGCTGGTTTGAGAGGCTAATAGCACTTCTGTCAGCGGCTTTGTCTCAGCACGGCCTGTAATGGTGAGAGTGTTCGCTGCCGGAGATGCCTGAACTTTCGGGTTGTTAAAGTGGATCACTGTTCCTTGGTTTGTAAACATATTTACCTCTTCAGTATCAGAGATACTGCTTACCCCTAACTTCTTTAAGGAGAACTGGAGTTTTTTTTTTATCATCTGCTGTATCGTGTGCTGTGAACCACCTTCTTTCTACGAGCAGTTCCTTTCCCACCAATGTGCACTTGTGCCTGCAGTTTGGCAAGTTTCTCTTGGTTCATGATAGTTTCTTTCATCTTGTTGGAGAGGAAACGGGCTGAGTGGGGGACTAAGGCTGAGTGGGGGCTTTAGGGCAGACCAGCTGAGAAGAAGCACACACACGCAGGGATGCAAGATCAGTTCTTTATAGTCTTTGCTTATTGTTGTAAAGTTATAGGTCTCTTAACATACAGACATTTCCTTAACTCAGGATGTCAGTGTGGTGTAAATCTTAATGAAATATCATGGCAGTTGGTAATATTCTTAAGGGTATCTTTTGGAAAGTAATTTCCTTAACTTAAGCTTTAGAAGTTGAAAACTTAATTAAAATCTCAAGTCAAATTTTAAGCAGACATAATAAATTACACTTTTCTTTGGTAGGTCTTGTCCTTGTGAATACAATAAATACCCCTCCTTAGGATTTATGCTAGTAGTAACATTAGTGTCTGCGATCATAAATTATTCTCTTCACATTCAACATTGCTGTACTCTGTCTCATTTTTCAGTTTTTAACCTAGTTAAGGGTACTGCAGCATATTGCCTATCTGATACAACTTATCCTTGAACTATCTAATAGTAACCAGTAGGACAATTATTATTATGTTGGTCTTACACAGTCTCTTTTGGGACTACGTGTTAGGACTAGATGTTTTGAACATGTGTGAAGCCATAAACTATCTAAAAAGAAGTAAGGAACACTTTTAGGTATTAATAAATATTATTTTCTTAAGAAAATTATCTTACTCTAACCTAGTAATTTGCCTTTGAGTGTCTGTATCATGTAACTTGGGTGGAAAAACCCAGGTGACCTTAGAAATACCCCCAAATTAAAGAGATCTGATGAGTATCCTTAGAAATGTAATGGGGTTTATACTTGGAATATGGCAATTATAATATTTTATGAAAAATAAATAGATCAGTAGAAGGCACATCAGTAGTGGTGTGCTATATTAAGGAAGGATAGCCTGCATTAAAATGTGTTAACCTAAATGTGGAAACCTAGGAGAGAGTTGCCTGGGTAAGGATCAAAATAGGAAGGTGCCCTAACCAGTTTGGCTCAGTGGATAGAGCGTCGTCGGCCTGCGGACTCAAGGGTCCCAGGTTCAATTCCGGTCAGGGACATGTACCTTGGTTGTGGGCACATACCCAGTGGGGAGTGTACAGGAGGCAGCTGATCAATGTTTCTCTTATCGATGTTTTGAACACTCTGTCCCTCTCCCTTCATCTCTGTAAAAAATCAATAAAATGTATTTTAAAAAAATAGGAAGGTAATAAAGCTCTGTTATAATAAGACTAGAGGCCCAGTGCACAAATTCATACACTGGTGGGGTTTGGCCAGCCCGCCCTGAGGGGGGCTGATTGGGGCGGGCCTGTGGGGGGTAGAGGCTGTGAGCGGTTGGCTGGCAGGCCCTGTCCACAATGGGGGTGGGGGGGGCGGAGCAGGCCAGGGGGAGGGGCTGTGAGAGGTTAGGGGGGCCCATAAGGCCCCAATGGGGCTGGTTGGTTGCTGCAGTGCCCATCATAGTGACTGGTTGTTCTGGTTGTTCCATCATTGCAGTTGCTTGGCTTTTATCTATACTAATAAAAGCGTAATATGCTAATAAGACCAGACGTCCTTCTGGACAGCCTTCTGGATGAAGCCGGGGCTGCAAGGGAAGCCCCAGTCCTGGGTGCCTGTCGGCTGCCAGAGGAAAGCCTGGATCCCGGGTTTCTGCTGGTGGCTGGAAGGAAGCCTGGGTTCTAGGTGCCAGAGAGAAGCCGGTGCCGGCAGCCCGGGGGAAGGACGGCCTACTCTTGCATGAATTTTGTGCATCAGGCCTCTAGTATATATAGATAATCCTACATACTGCCTATCTAAGTGGAGAATATAGGTGACACTAATTAGAAAACTTATTCTAAGGGATCCTATAATATTGATGAATTTCAATTATGTTACCATTTGGTGGCCTACCTTTTTGAAAATTTTCTCTCAAAATGTAGATGAAACCATGAGTACAAGTTATATTTAATCATTAATTCTTAACAATAAGGGGGAAATGCTGATGTTATATTAGAAAGAATCTTATATGAGGTATTCATGTTATCCTGGAGTTAAAAAAAGAATTTCTGAGCAAAGTGGATGAGCAGAGGGCATCTCGATACTTTAAACAAGGCTTTTATAAATTAACTAGAGGCCCGGTGCACAAAAATTTGTGCACTGGCGGGGGAGGGGGAGTGGGGGGGGTGACCCTCAGCTCCACTTGTGCTCTCTCACAGTCTGGGAAACCTCAGGAGATAACCACCTGCTGGCTTAGGCCCACTCCCCAGGTGGCAGATGGCAGTCCCAATCCCTCGGTGCCTGCCCCGCCTCCCCAGGTCGCGCACATGGAAGGGCCGATCCAGGGCTTGGGGCGCCACCCCGGGTCGGGTCGCGCACGGGACGCCCCGGGCAGGTCGTACACGGGATGTCCAGGTGGGCTGGCTGATCGCTACTGCCCTGCCCCGCCGCCCTGGGTCGGGTCGCACACAGGATGCCTGGGCGGGCCGGCCAATTGCTGCTGCCCTGCCCGGCTGCCCCGGGATGGTGCTGTCCCGCCCTGCCTGCAGTATGCAAATTAGCTGCCGTTTTTGTTGGTGGTTAATTTGCATATTGTGCTGATTAGCCAATGGGAGGCGTAGTGAAGGTACAGTCAATTACCATGTTTATCTATTAGATAGGATTACTGGTAATTGCCAAGATTCTGAAGAAACTTCTGTAAGTTCTCGAATAGCTACACTCCCTAGAATTATCATTTGACTGAAGGTGATAAACCTAGAAAGAATATTTCCTGATCTTTTCATAATGGAGTAGAGCGCTGGCTTTCAAATTTTGTTACTATTTCCATTATCATTTTACATAACGCTGGTTTTAAATGATACAATTCTTTTCTACCTTTAATTTAGGAAGAAGAGAAAACTGGCATGCTGGCCAATGGTAAATATTGTGTATACTTACATTTTAGTCGGCAAAAAATTGTTCAGCATTTCATCTAAATAATTCTGAATAAACCACTATTTGTACTTATGTTTTTTTTAAATATATTTTATTGATTTTTTACAGAGAGGAAGGGAGAGGGATAGAGAGTTAGAAATATCGATAAGAGAGAAACATCGATCAGCTGCCTCCTGCACACTCCCCAATGGGGATGTGCCCGCAACCAAGGTACATGCCCTTCACTGGAATTGAACCCGGGACCCTTGAGTCCACAGGCCGTCGCTCTATCCACTGAGCCAAACCAGTCATGGCTGTACTTGTTTTTTAATATCTCCAATGAATTAACGTTCACAGATTGTCTCAATAATATGTCTCTTCTCCCTATCTTGAATCCTTGTTATATTTAAGAAAATTTCTTTTTTATAAAAGCCCAGGACTGGATAGCTTCATTGCTATATTCTACCAAATGTTCAAAGAATCAATACCAATTTTTTTAAAATCTTTCAAAGAACAGGAAGGAATACGTTGAAATTCATTTTATGACACCGAGATCACCTTGATACCAAAATCAGAGAAACATCATGAAAAGAAAATATTTCCATTTAAAATTACATTCAAAAGAATAAAACACTTAAGAATAAATTTAACCAAGGAAGTAACAAATATGTACACTGAAAACTACAAAATATCGAAGAACTTGAAGCAGACACAGTAAATGGAAATTTATTACATGTACATGATTAGAAGAATTCGTATTGTTTTAATGTCCACACTACCCAAAATAAACTACAAATAGAGTACATTCCCTATCAAAATTCCAATGACATTTTTCAAAAACAATCTTAAAATTCATATGGGACCACAAAAGATCCAAATAGCCAACTCAGTCTTGCGAAAGAACAAAAGTGGAGGAATCACATGTCCTTCTATTTAACATTTCAGACTGTTAAAGAGCTGTAGTAATCAGAACAGCATGCTATTAGTATTAAAAACACACATAAGTCAATTGAACAGGATAGAGTGTCCAGAAATAGACCTAAGTATAAATGGTCAATTTTTGACCAAGAATACACAGGAAAGAATAGTCGCTCCAATAAATGGCATTTGGAAAACGGCCACATACAGAAGATAAAACTGGACCCCTATCCACAACATGTACAAAAATCAATGTGAAATGGATTAAATACTTAAATAATAATACATATTTAGCCTTGTAAAAAAAAAGTAAATTCTGCCATTTGAATAACATGGATGAACATGGAGGACATTTAGTTAAGTGAAGTAAGGCAGACACAGAAACACAAATACTACATGATCTCATATGTGGAATCTAAAAATGCCAAAATCATAGGGAGGATAGAATAATGGTTACCAGGTGCTGGAAGAGCAGGATATAGGAAGATGTTGGATAAGGGGTGCAAAGTTTTAGTTAATGCAAGATAAAAAGTTCAAGAGATTAGTGTGTAACTGTAGTTAACAGTAGTGTATTATGTACTTGAAATTTGCTAAGAGGGGAGATCTCAAGTGTTCTCACCACATATAACAGCTAAATAGCTATTCAAGGTGGTGGATGTTAATTTGCTTCCTTGCGGTAAATATTTCATAAAGTATAAATATATCACATTGTCAAGTGTCAGGTATACCTCAACAAAGTTGGGGTATTTTATTTTTCTCAGGCCCTTTACCTTCCTCATATAAATGTACATTAGGCCTGTATGTAAGCATAGGTATGTATGTTAATGTAAACTTACTCTTTTATACATAAGGAGAAAACCATGCTTGCTTATAATAGATACCTGATTATATATATTCTTTATGTGTAAATATCTTTGTTTTTATATGGACTGCCTATGATTAAAATACTTTCTTAAAGGCACCATGCAAATTTCTTTATTTTCCTAATAACTTTTTTTGTATATTGTTCCAGTGGTGCTGCTTGATTCATTCGATTCTGTTGCAGAGGTCAACCTTGATGAACAAGATAAAGCAACTACTATGCCAAAGGTTCTGCCCGAAATAACTGACAATGAAATGACAGGAACAGGTAAAAATGTTTGAAAACTCAGTATTTTCTAAATGTGTAATATTTTATGACTAATTGACTTCATTTATACATAATACATAATAACTATATAATAACTGTCTATATATATAAAAGCATAAGTGACCATTACGACCGAATGACCAGAACGACCAGTCGACCAGTCGCTATAACGTGCACGACCACCAGGGGACAGACGCTCAATGCAGGAGCGGCCCCCTGGTGGTCAGGGCACTCCCACAGCCAACCTTCCCTGGCCCCTCACCCCCCAACTGGACAACTTCCCAGGGTCTGTCTACCTCTCCCCTGGCTGGCTGGCCTGCTGATAGGCCTCTATCACCAGCCAGTTCGAGGGACCCCTACCCATGCATGAATTCGTGCACCAAGCCTCTACTATTGACAATAAAATTTTAAATCTCATATTTTCTACCATATTTAACAACTTCAGTAATCTGAACTTGTTAATGGTGACACCTAATGCTAGACAGCCAAATAAAATATGTTTTTAAGTAAATGCTTATTAATAAGTGAGTGCTGTTCATACAATGTGTAGCACAGTGAGTAAATACTAACTTTTTTGTCCCTGTCCAGGGTATTCAGTTAAATTTGCCATGTATAGGAGAAATAAAACTTCAGTGTTATTGTGATTTTCTATAGTTGCCTTTGTGTAGGAAAAAGCTGGATCACATCCCAAAATTTTGAGATGCCTAGGACCATCTAGACTTAAGTTTGGAAAGATCTTTAGGACATTGTCTTTGTAAACTTGTTTAAAGCAGTGGAATCCTATCTATCTCCAAATGAAATCTTATGTATACTCTATGTAGATAAAAATGGTATTTTGTCAGTATAAACATAAATGTTTACATTTATAACATTTACAAGTAAAGATAAAACAAAATGCTCCTTTGAAACTTTTGAAATCGTAAGTTTATAGATATTTGTTATATTTTCATATCACCATCAGACTTAATATGTTAGTATATTTTGTTTTTGTTGTATAATGCAAAAATATTCTTGACTTACTATATAAATAGTTACAAATGGGAACTTTTTAATCAGCTTGCTTTTCAAGACTCAGTTGACCAGTATGGTCAAGTAAACCAATCTAAACACTTGGAAAACAAGAGCAATAGAATTGATAAATCACTAACCCAACTCCAAATATCTACTTGAATTTTATTTTTAATTCTTTTCTTCCTTAATAGAAATATAGTACATCTATAAGAAAGTATAATATACCTACTAGTATAACATCCTATATAATAAAAGCCTAATATGCTAAGTGTCCTGTTGACTGGTTGGCCATTCAACCAATCAAAGCGTAATACGCTAATGATATGCTAAGGCTGCTCAACCGCTCGCTATGATGTACACTGACCACCAGGGAGCAGACACTCCGTCCAGTAGGTTAGCTTGCTGCTGGGGTCTAGCCAATTGGGACTGAGTGAGATGGGCCAGACATGCCGTGGAGCCCTCCCACGGTCCCTCCCCGGCCCCAGTCATGCGTCAGTGGGGTCCCGCGGCCTGGCCTGCATTCCCTCGCAATCCGGCACCCCTCAGGGGAATGTTAGAGAGCCAGTTTTGGCCCGATCCCACAGGGCAGGCTGAGGGACCCCACTGGTGCATGAATTCGTGCACTGGGCCTCTAGTGTGTCATAATAGTGCAACTTAATGAATTTTCAAATACTGAAACACCCATGTAATCAGCAACCAGATCATGACCCAAACTACAAAGTCTACTCAGACTTCTTTTTTTCTAGTCACTGTTAAGAGTCACCACTATTTTACTTGTTTCAACCATTTCCATTTTAAAATATATAAAAGTCAAAAACTACAATAGAATTTTCCCATCAAGACAAGTTACTCATTTACTTGTTAATACCTGAGTATTCTGCTATGACAAAAGCATGTTCCTCAGTCTTACTGCTGTTTATTTAAGTTCATTTCACTTATGTGTTGTGATAGTAGATCCACTTGCAGAGTTTTCAGTAAGAAGACATGAATTCTTTTAAAAGACCAGTGTAGAGCTATAGTTTTTCTAATCAGTGATACATTATAGGGCAGTGATGGCGAAACTTTTGAGCTCGGCATGTCAGCATTTTGAAAAACCCTAACTTAACTCTGGTGCCATGTCACATATAGAAATTTTTTTGATATTTGCAACCATAGTAAAACAAAGATTTATATTTTTGATATTTATTTTATATATTTAAATGCCATTTAACAAAAATCAACCAAAAAAATGAGTTCGCGCGTCACCTCTGACACGCGTGTCATAGGTTCGCCATCACTGTTATAGGGTCATGTATGTACAGTATGGCCAGAAAAACTTTGTTCTAAGATATGCATGAAAACAAAGCAAGAGGCAAAGTTCTGACTCTGATGGTCTTCAAAGTACTACAGTTACATAAGTGGCACATTTGAGTGTTTAGATTAGCTTCCTGTACAATTTTTTAAGTTTTAAAGCACATTTAAAAATGAAATTTCAACCAAACATCTGTGGAACATATGATTTTCCCTGAAATACCATGATTTTATAAAATACAGTATGAAAACCACTGCTGTAGGTTATTAAAAAAAAAACCTCAAAAATAAAAAAAATGTATTGCTAAAAGTAAAAATTCTTTTGAGATGATCCAAGCAGTTATATAAAGCTGTAGTTTTTTGGTATTATTTCTCTTTTTTAAAAATATATTTTATTGATATTTTACAGTAAGAAAGGGAGAGGGATAGAGAGTTAGAAACATCGATGAGAGAGAAACATCGATCAGCTGCCTCCTGCACACCCCCTGTGGGGGATGTGCCTGCAACCAAGGTGCATGCCCTTGACTGGAATCAAACCTGGGACCCTTCAGTCCGCAGGCTGACACTCTATCCACTGAGCCAAACCAGTTAGGGCTTTGGTATTATTTCTTAAGTATTCTAGTCTCTGAAATATTTTGATGAGTCAGTTTCTGAAATATAGTAGAGTATGACTTTATTGTCATGTACCCTTTGATTCTTATTCTCATCCTTGCCAATTATCTCCTGGTTGACACTGGACAATTAATGCTTCTAAGCCTGTTTTTCTTTAAAATTAGGCCTTGTGATGGTCAGCTGTAATAACGTATGTTGCATAGTACATTGTTAAGATTCAACAAGTAATAGCAACTCAGTGGTTGTTATCATTATTATAATTTATATCCACTGTTGGTTAATAGTACAAGTTATAATAAAGAACCTGAAAGCATTATAGTATAAATCGGATTAGCTGTGAGATATTGAATTTACCTGGTACTTCAGAAATACACTTGAAATCTTCAAATCAGTATCTGAACTTGGGTTAAGAACTGAAAAGATCAGTGGAGTTTCTGTTTTTGTTTGTTTGTTTTTACCATGATTCTTTTAGGATTAAGCAGGCTCAGATTAGGTGCAGCATTGTCAAAGATCATCTTTTTAAAATAACATTGATGTAATTCTTGTGCTTTATTGAAAAAAATGTTGATATCTATAAAAATGAGTTTTTCCTAACACCAGGCCAGTTCTAGCCTTCCATTTGTTTTCATTTGTCCCTCAGGCAGTACCGTTTTGTGCTATGGCTGCATGACCGGAGCAGTCACAAGGTGACAGTATTGCTCCACAATCTGACGCTTGCCTCTGTAACTCAGCGTTTAACCTGTCTCAACTTTCTTAAGTGGAAAAATACAAGCTTTTTGTGTAAAAATATATAATAATAATAATATTTAAAATAAGCGACATAGAATACTCTCTTTTTAATGTAAAAGGCAGACTGGTCATGCCTTTTTTCATAAAGGGCATGAAAAAAGTTAACTTGTATGACTCAGATATTTTAATATCACTTGGGTAAAGTTAGAGGAGAAAAGTATCCCTCCCTGCTGTTTCCTGAGCAGCACCTTATACCTCTCTATCCTCTACTTTTAATTTGTAACTTTTAGGTCATTTGTTTTTCTGCATGTTTGCTCTACTGTTGCTTTAAAGCCTTGAACTTCTTTCTGACACCTCCCACCTGATAAATTAGGTATAAGCATTCAGTACTGCCGTGCTACTTACCATTGGGGTCATTTCTTTTACATATATCAGCAGATACTTAACTACTCAGGATATTTTTGTAGAGGAGAAAAGAAGCACCTGTGCCTTTTTTCCTTTCTTCATAAAGATTAATTTTCTCCTTCAGTCATGCTACTCAGTGTAACATGGTTAGGGGAAGAGTTAGGTTTACTTAACAGGCAAGATCTTTTTCCTCAAGTCCTATTTAAAAATCTCTGCCTCTTGCCACTTAACTGTTCACAGTTCTGCTCTAAGTATCTCTCCTTTTTGTTTTTAATTTTTAAAAATATATTTTTATTGATTTCAGAGAGGAAGGGTGAGGGAGAGAGAGAGAGAGAGAAATATCAATGATGAGAGAGAATCATTGATCGGCTGCCTCCTGCACGTCCCCTACTGGGGATGAAGCCTGCAACCCAGGCATGTGCCCTAGATTGGAATCGAACCCAGGACTCTTTAGTTCGCAGGATTCACTGAGCCAAGCCAGCTAGGGCTGTTTTTAATTTCTTAAAGCAAATCTATTACTTATTGGGGGCATGCTTCATCCGAACAGCAGTTGTGACCTGAAGCATTAGAAAGATACCCACAGTAAGGCATTCTTACAGTCTTTTGTGTGGCATTTGGATGCCTCTTACATTTAAAGTTAAAAATAGCCCCTTAGAGTTGTATACTATGCAAATTAAAGTTTATATTGAGGAAGATGAGGTTGCATATACCGTTGTATTTTTTTTTTTAAGCACTAATTAATTAATCACGGGTATCAAAAGAAAAGGAGGTGGGTCATCCCATGTCTCTCCTCTTTTTCCACTTTTCTATGATTCTTATTCTTTTCTCTAATTTTTAAAATTCCACTGTTAATAATGAAAGTTACAAAATGTAAGAGAATACTCATAGAAATATTAGACCATTGTTCTCATTAGGTTCTTGGAATTCTTTTTTTCAGAATTTATCAGTTGGGAGAAGGAGGAGAATGGTAACAAGGAAGGAAGAGTGAACAATGACATCATGTTCTATTTCAGATGACTAGGTGATTAGTGATGCCCTTAGCTAAAATAGGAAATACTGGTAGCAAAACAAATTTTACTTGGGAATATATTAAATTCAGTTGGGGATATGTTAGATGTGACTTACTTACAGAACAATCTAAATGTCTTTATTCAGTAAAAAAAATAGGGACAGCACTGGCTGGTGTGGCTCAGTTGGTTGGGTGTCATCCTGTGCACCAAAAGGTTGCCAGTTGGATTACAAGTCAGATTACATGCCTGTGTTGCAGGCTCAATCCCCAGTCAGGGAATGCAGGAGGCAGCTGATCAGTGTTTCACTCTCACATTGATGTTTCTCTCTCCCTCTCCTTTTCTCTCTTTCTGAAAATCAAAAAAACCTTTTTTAAAAAAGGATAACACAGATATGAGCATCATGAGCGTATATGTAATAGATGAAGCTAAGGGTTTTGATGAAAGTTAGGCATAAAGGAAGGAGAGAAGGAAGGTAGTTTGAAAAAGAAGGCTAAAGATAGAGCCCTGAGATGAGCCATCTATAATCTAATCTAATAAAAGACAAACATGCAAATTGACTGTACCTTAAGCCATGCCCATCAGCCAATCAGAGCGACTATATGCAAATTAACCCAACCAAGATGGCGGCCAGCAGCCATGGAGTTGGAGCAAGCAGGAGGCTTGGTTGCTCCAGTGATGGAGGAAGCTAAGCTTCCCGCCTGCCGCAGCCGGCTCTGAGCTCCACTGAAGGCAGCAAAGTTTCAATTATAGAAGGTAAACAAATCCCAGAATAAAAAAAAAAAAGGAGAGGCTGGGAGCTTCCATTGCCAGGGGACTTGGCCATCCTGAAAACAGCACTCAGCCCCTCGCCCAGACTGGCCAGGCACCCCAGTGGGGACCCCCCACCCTAAAGGGGGTATGACCAGCCTGCAAACAGCCATCAGCCCCTCACCCAGACTGGCCAGGCACCCCAGTGGGGACCCCCAACCTGAAGGGGGTGTGACCAGCCTGCAAACAGCCATCAGCCCCTCACCAGGCTGGCCAGGCACCCCAGCAGGACCACCACCCTGATCCAGGACACCCTTCAGGGCAAACCAGCTGGCCCCCACCTGTGCACCAGGCCTCTTTCCTATATAATAAAAGGGTAATATGCAAACTGACCCTAACAGCAGAAAGACTGGGAATGACTGGTCACTATGACACACACTGACCACCAGGGGGCAGACACTCAATGCAGGAGCTGCCCCCTGGTGGTCAGTGTGCTCCCACAGGGGGAGCTCTGCTCAGCCACAAGCCAGGCTGATGGCTGCCAGCACAGCAGTGGTGGTGGGAACCTCTCCCGCCTCCTCAGCAGCACTAAGGATGTCAGACTGCAGCTTAGGCCTGGTCCCTGCTGGCAAGTGGACATCCCCCAAGGGCTCCCGGGCTGCCAGAGGGATGTCTGATTGCCAGCTTAGGCCCAGTCCCCCCAGGGAGCGAGCCTAAGCCAGCAGGTGGTCATCCCCCAAGTGGTCCCAGACTGCAAGAGGGCACAGCCTGGGCTGAGGGACCCCCCACCCCCGAGTGCACAAATTTTTGTGCACCAGGCCTCTAGTAATCTATAATAATAAAAGGGGTTATTTGCTAATTCGACCGGATTTCATTCCGGACATCCTTCTGGACGAAGCCAGGGCCGAGGGAAGCTGCCCAGGTTCCGGGTGCCTGCTGGCGGGGCTGGAGCAAAGCCACCTGGGTCGCGGTGCCTGCCGGCGGCTGGAGGAGGGAATCCCGGGTCCCAGGTGCTGGAGGGAACCTGGTGCCTGCAGTTGGGGGAGAAGGAAGGCCTACTCTTACATGAATTTTTGTGTATCGGGCCTCTAATTTTACCTTAAAAGATGGAAAAGTAGCCATTAAAGTGATGGGATGAACAAGGAGAAGGGATGCAGGACAGATCCCAGGAAAAGGACAGTGTCAGATGTCTCACGGAGTTGAGAACTAAAGATGACCGGATTTGGCCATTAGGAAATTGTTTTTCATTATAGCAGCTTTTGCAGGAAGTTGGCACACACTGAATTGCAAACACCCATGTAATTGCAAAGTTAGAAGAGTGAATTTCAGTTGAAGAAATGCAGACTACTGCTTGGTGACACAGGAAAGCTAAAAGAGTGGTATTGATAAGGGAGAGACAAAATCCTGAGATGATTGGACCACTTTAGGAAATTTAGGAATAGTTTTATTCAACTATTTTGAATTAAGGGTAGTGGGAAGAGAGGGCAGTTAACTAGTGGAGTCAGATTTTATAGTTACCATGTCAGGACACATCTCAACTTTCTGAAGAGTTATTGAGCCTGCTGTGATTTATACTGGTAGGCCATTACCTATATATTACCTAATTTTGTACTTACTAGTAACTCTGTAATGTCATTGTTGTCCTATGCCTTGTTCACCATTCTTCACAGATTAAGGGATGACATTAGTATTACATATTTCTCATGTTTTGTGGATTATACTGGAGATTACATTCATTTTAACAGGTGTTTCTTATGGACAAAGCAATAGTGATATTGAAGCTCTTCATCAGGCTTATTGTCATATAGCCCATTCCTTGGGAAATTCTGATGAACAAAGAATTGAGATTGCCGCCATGGAAAATGTCAAGAACTCAGAGAAAGGTCATCCTCAAGAAAGTGAAGAGTCCTCCAAAAACATTTCTACTACGGAATCTGGTAAAAGCTTATTTAAGATCCTCTCTGAACAGTTTCCAATTTAGTGTAATTTAGACACAATTTGCTGTAATGATTATTTCTCAATCTCTGGATTTATTTAAAGGGTTTGTTCAAATGAAATCTGGAAATCAGTGATTTAACTGTAAAGTTAGAGCTGAACATGGGATAAAATTTCAGTTTCCTTTCTAATCTGCTTTGACCAAATTACAAAATTACTGAATTGTTTTCACATTTTTTAATCTTTTCCATGAACATATACTAAAGTTATTTTTTAAATAGAGAACAGTAGGGGTCAACTAAATACATATTTAGCAAATAAAAGTGTTTGTGGCTCTACCCAGATACATATATTTGAGACTTGTATGCCTATGCATTAAATATATAGTTATATATATTTCAAATAATAACTATCAACGGAAGTTGTCTTGGTACAAGGAAGTTTACAATGGGTTTCTTGTATGAGTCATTTTGTTAACTATATCAATCAGAGAAAAAGTAATTTTGTTGGTATGATACATAAAATGAAGCAAATGACCTAACATTTTTGGTTGCTATTTTAACTTTTTTCCCCTCTTAGATCTGCCCACAGTAGAGGAGCTGATGAAAACTATCAAAATAGATTCCTTTGGGATCAGTGGTTTGGATTTACAACCTATAAGGTATGTGTTTTTTTCATTGGATTGTGCAAGTTATTTGATTGGTTATTGTTTTGTCCCTGGAAAATTGTGGAATCATTTGTTCTACATTATCATTCCTAGTGAATGATTAAAGTGTAACTTGGATGTATCTACCTATGAGCCACTACTCTCTTCTTTTTACTCAATTAGGTCATCAAAATTCTCCTAGTGCTAAAATAAGAAAATAATAGATAAATGCCATTATGTAGTCTTAAAGCTTTTTACTGAAAAATATAATCTCTTCAGCTTTAAATAGCTCAGGGACAGTTGATTTTGAATGAAGGGATGGAAAATGAATGTTATTCTGTATACTAGAGGCCCGGTGCACGAAATTCGTGCAGGGTGGGGGTTCCCCTCAGCCCAGTCTGCACCCTCTCCAGTCCGATACTGCTGGCTCCTAACTGCTCACTTGCCTACCTGGTTGCCCCTAACTGCCCCTCCCTGCCAGCTTGATCACCCCTCACTGCCTCTGTGTGCCGGCCTGATTGCCCCTAACTGCCCCCCCTGCCGGCCTGGTCATCCCCAAATGCACCCCCTCACACTGGCCTGGTCGTCTCTTACTGCCCCCACTGCTGGCCTCGTCACCCCCAACTGCGCCCCTCTGCTGTCCTGGTCGCCCCTAACTGCCCCCCCACCCCTGCTGGCCTAGTTGCCCCATGCAGCCTACTTGTTTAGTCGTTTGTTTGTCCCTCACTAACCCCCCTGCCAGCCTGGTCACCCCACGCAGCCTGCTTGTGAGGGCATGAGGGTCAATTTGCATATTACCTCTTTATTATATAGGATGAGTTATAGATTTTTCTTGTTTATAAGCCAGTTAGTTTTGTAATTAGGACTGGTCATCCTTCCAGAGGATGAGTTTGGGCACAAGAGAAGTGGACTTGGAGAAAATGCTCCAGCTCTGATACAGAATAGCACATCACAATAACCTCATCATGAAACAGCTTTGCATTTGTGTATCACTTGCAGTGGTTCTCAACCTGTGGGTCGTGACCCTTTTGGTGGTCGAACGACCCTTTCACAGGGGTCACCTAAGACCATCCTGCATATCAGATATTTACATTACGATTCATAACAGTAACAATATTACAGTTATGAAGTAGCAATGAAAATAATTTTATGGTTGGGTCACAACATGAGGAACTGTATTTAAAGGGCCAGAAGGTTGAGAACCACTGACTTAGAGTGTCAGATTCATTATCTCATGTGGTTTTAATTTTTTTTAAATATATTTTTATTGATTTCAGAGAGGAAAGAAGAGAGAGAGAGATAGAAACATCAATGATGAGAGAGAATCATTGATTGGCTGCCTCCTGCACGACCCCCACCGGGGATTGAGCCACAACCTGAGCATGTGCCCTTGACCAGAATCGAACCTGGGACCCTTCAGTCCGCAGGCCAACGCTCTATCCACCAAGCCAAACTGGTTAGGGCCTCATGGGGTTTTATAAGAAGTAGGACAGGCATCCTTAATCCCCATCATTCAAGTGATGAGACTACAATAAAGTCACTTCAGTCATGGAGCTCTCACAACAACTGGATGATGATGATGATGATGATGATGATGATGATGATAACAATAACATCCAGCATTTTTGTCATATATTCACTGTGGACCAAGTACTATGCAAAATTCTTTACATACACTATTTTATTTAATCTTAGAGCAACTCCATGAAGTTTATTCCATTATTATCTTCATTTCACAAGTAAGAACAATAAGCCTTAAAGGATACACAGGAAGTCCACGTGTTTAACCACTTACATGATCAGATCTGTGATGTCCACGAAATATGTCTGAAAAGTCTGTCATCCATTCATTCATGTTTTAATAGACACATTTGGAGCCCCTTGTAATGGAAATCCACTTGCAGTGATTTCTTGGCCTTGTTTCTACATTTATACTAGTTGAGCAAAAATGATACAGTGAAACTTACACTAAAACCCATCTACTTGCATGCTAAGTCTAGTATTCTTCCACTGATTTTCAGTGCTACTTATTTTTATAAGACATATTGTGCTTACTCACCAGTACCGTTTGGGGATATGTTAGTGTTACTGAAGAGATTTTCTGTATCTTGTGTCTTTGTTGGCATTTTAGTAATGTGAATTCTAAAATATAGGTTATTACATTTGTGTTTAAAAGTCAAAGACAAGTATATTTACCTTAAAGGCATAATAATGGTAGAAATGTTAGTAGTATAAACTTTAGTACACATATCCAAAAATTCTTTAGTAAACTCTAGGGTACATAATCCTAGTTGCTATAACAGATAATCCTTGAAATTTTTTAGCTTAGCATCATCAGAGTTTATTTCTCGCTCACATCATAATCTCATGAGTGTCAGTGGGAGTGGGGTCAGAGTGGGACTCTGCTACACACAGTCATTTAGGGACTCAGGCCTCTTCTGTCATAAACACATGGTTTTACAGTTATCATGGCCTCATCCAACCAGTTGATAAGGAAAGAAAAAGAATGGTGTCGCATACTTTTATGCCTCAACACAAAAGTATTCCACTGCTTTCGCTCACATTCTATTGATAAGACCTAGCATATTTAGCTAACAAGATCCAAGAGGGCTGGGAAATGCGATTTGCTTGTATACCCAGAGAGAAAAATAAATGAGCTTGATAGGCATCTAGGCAGAATCAACCAGAATATATCCTTCCAATAGCCAAATTTCTATTTCACTCTTCTTCATACACAGACCCACTTAACTCTCTCCCATAGCAGGCAGCTCAGAGTCCCATTCAGGACTGTATCCCTCAAAAAGGCCAGGATTTCCAGGTAAAGTGTAGTCCTTTCCATCAAGTTTGAATGTGGCTCCTGATTGTCTAATAACCAGTGATTTAAAAAGGCAAGTTATAACTGCCTCACTCCTACCATTGATATATATAATGGTGAATTGCAACAAGTACTCCCATTCAGAAAGGAAAATACAGTAATCATTAGCAAATTGAAATCCACTGGAGAGACCTTTTGAAGACACCACCCCCAACCCTGCACGTATGCACGCACACACACCTTTCAAATGGGGATTTTCCTTAATTAGGCCATTTTCCATCATTCTGCTCTTAATGAAGAACTACCATCTATACTATTAAAAGGGTAATATGCTAATTAGGGCAGACGTCTTCTGGATGACCTTCCGGACAAAGCCGCAGTGGCTGTGAGGGCTGAGGCTCAGGAAGCCTCAGGTGACTGCGAAGGGCCCAGGCTCAGGCCGACAGTGGCTGCAGCAGTGGGGTAATGGGGGCAGCGCCTTCCCCTGATCCACCAGGTCACCTCCTGCAGAGGGAGGCCAGACTGTGGCTTAGGCCTGGAGCCAAGACAGAGGTGGTTAGGGGTGATCAGGCTGTCTGGGGAGCAAGTTAGGGTTGATCAGGCCAGTAGGGGGGCAAGGTAGGGGCAATCAGGACCGCAGGCAGAGGCAGTTAGGGGTAATCAGGCAGGCAGGCAGAGGGGTTAGGAGCTAGCAGTCCCTAAGCCAGACGGTGGTCATCCTCCGAGGGGTCCCACACTGCAAGAGGGCATAGGCCGGGCTGAGGGACCCCCCCTGAGTGCACAAATTTTTGTGCACCGGGCCTCTAGTCTATAATAATAAAAGTGTAATATGCTAATTAGACCAGACAGCCGAACGACCTTCTGGACGACCTTCCAGGTGAAGCTGGGGCTGGGAGGGCTGAGGCAGCCACAGCGGTTGTGAAGGCCAAGGCAAGCCGTCGTGGCTGTGAGGGCTGAGAGGCAAGCTGCCGCGATTGCAAGGGCCAAGCCCCTTGCACAGATTTTGTGCATCCGGCCTCTAGTCCTATATTATAAAAGCATAATATGCAAATTGGCCAAACAGTGGAATGACTGGTTGCTATGACGTGCACTGACCACCAGAGTGCAAATGCTCAACGCAGGAGCTGCCCCCTGGTGGTCAGTGTGCTCCCACAGGGGGAGCGCTGCTCAGCCAGAAGCTAAGCTCACAATATCCATATTCTTGGAGTCCCCATAATATGCTGATCTTTAACAACATTTAGAAATTTCAAGGGATATTTTCCGTATTTTTTAAATCTAATGGTCTGAAATATCAGATTGCATTTAACTGTTTTAAACCACAGAAATGACTTTATTTCAAAATCCTCGTGACTTTGTTTTACTTTAAAAATTTTCCTATACTGTGATGAAATGTATGCCTTTAAATATTTATATTCTATATCTCATTGGCATAAATTATGATTACTTCTTTAGTTTCTTCTAGACATATATAAAATGCTTTTTCTGCCACAAATTCATGTTGAAATTATAAGGTATAGGTAAACGATATATTATAAAAAGTTCATATTTTATTTTTTCTTATACAAAAGCAATCTTAGTCTTGTTTGGCTTTGCTTTCCTTTGAAATAGGCCTCAGAGTCATTCATGTATTCCCTTATACTGCCTTAACATTATTATTTGAAATTCAAAACTATTATACGATACTATGTGAGTATGCCCTATTGACCAGAATTGTAAATAATGTATTTAATATTAATTATCTAATTTGAATAATTATGCATATTAAATGTGTGTGTATATAAATATATAAATAGTGTGTGTGTATTAATAAAACTGATATTTGAGGAGTCATAGAGTATGTGTGCTCTGTGTCCTGTTTTGTTTTACAGCTATAAAAAACAGGCTGACAGTAAAGAAACTGAAGTCATAAGTCCCTTACCCTTTAAGATGAAGCCAAATGTGTCTCAAGAGCCACAAAATGTGAACCAATTATTTAACAAAAATGAAGAGAATGTGGTTTTACAAAAGACAACAAATGAAAGTATAGAAAATTGCTGCCCAAGAGTAAATACTACAGAAGAATGTATAGATAAAATGTACCTTGACATTTTGCGGAAAAAAATATCTGTTGCTCCTTCAGTGTTACCTCAGGAAGACAAAATAAAGAAAGTAAGTGTTTATAATTTAAATTAATTTGACATATTGATAAATGAAGTTATATAAAATTATATAAGTGTTCTTGATACATAAGTACTTATTAAGTTTGTGGGATTGATTACTTACCAACCTCCACATAGATCCTGGATATTTGTGAGCAATATTTATTACAACAGCCTGCAGTCCCCAAATTCAAAGTACCTCTAAGGCATTAGCTTTCTTTTAAAGGCCATCCTTTGATTAATTTTTTGTGTGTTTTTTTTGTTTGTTTTTTTTTTTTTTTTTTTTTTTTAGTAAGCATAGTTCAGTATTTGAGTAGCATAATAAAATAAAGTTTATTCATCATTTTAGTGCTTTTCATTCAATCTTTCCAGTAGTCTGTTCTGCAAAAGTAGGTTAAGTTGGCATTTCATATCAATGCTATCAGAAACCTTTGAGAAACTTGTATATCATTGTTCCTTTTTCCTGTGTCCTTGATTTACTCTGATTTACAGTTTCATGATCCCAGTATTTTATTTTGTAATTTGGAATTATGTGTTTATCATAAACTATCTCCCATTTTGTGTGTAGAATTAGGCAGTGTATTAAATTTTTTTTTTTTATCTTGAGAAATCTGGAGGAAAAAGTAAATAAAATTTGCCATTTCAAAATATCTTCTTCTCATCCCCCTCTGTGTTAATTCTCATAATTACACATATTGCTTTCTGGCAGGCTTATTTCGTATTATTTTGCTTTGTTTTACTCCCAACTTTAAAGATGTGCTGCAAAATACTAAAATTCTGATGACCTGGACTTAGGGAATTTTAATATAGTGGTTTGCCTTCAGCAAACTATGTTATTTAGTAATCACTATGATTTTGCCATCTGTTAACTCTTCATTTTCAACTATAGTTGAAATTCATTTAAGTACTAAAGAATTTGTACTTGTTATATGCAGACTTTTAGACCTCAACTCAGTTCTGGAGAAGGGGCTGTAATTGGTAAAGAGGTACCATACAAGAAGGCCAGAAGTGCACCTCCTTTAGCTAAAAGAAAACCCCAGAGTGGTGTATACGCGTCAGTTAGGAGCTCGGGCTATGGAAAACCCAGTTCACCATGCAAGACTTCTACTCTTGAAAAGAAAACTTCAAAGGACATGATGAAAAGCAAAAACTTGAGATCCATGCTCACCTCAAATCAAGCCAGGAAAAAAGGTAATCATCATATACTCTTTTCATAATAAAGTTCTGTGTTTATACAGTTGACCCTTGAATGTGAGTGTGAACTTCGCAGGTCCACTTACATGTGAAATTTTTTCACTGTAAATGTATTTTCCTTATGATTTTTTAAAAAAATATACATATATTTTTATTGATTTCAGAGAGGAAGGAAGAGGGAGAGGAGATAGAAACATTGATGAGAGAGAATCATTGATTGGCTGCCTCTTGCAAGTACCCAACTGGGGATCGAGCCCACAACCCGGGCATGTGCCCTTGACCGGAATCGAACCTGGGACCTTTTAGTTCACAGGCCGACACTCTATCCACTGGCCAAACCGGCTAGGGCCATTATGATTTTCTTAATAACATTTTCTTCTCTATAGTTTATTGTAAGAATACAGTATGTATTATATATAACATAAAAAATATGTGTTAATTGTTTATGTTATCAGTAAGGCTTCCAGTCAGTAATAGTCTACTTGTACTTAAGCTTTTGGGGAGTAAAGTCATGTGAATTTTCGACTGCATAGAAGGTTGGCACCTCTCACCCCTGAATTGTTCAAGGGTCACCGGTAGTGTATTATTTTACCTTCCTTGTTCTTTACTTTTCCTGTTCCCTTCTATGAACTTTCCTTATTCATAGGAAAGAATTAACTTTAAGATACACATTCCATTTCTGAAAGATTGAATTTATAGAAGGTTTTTCATCATTACTTCTGGGTTTTCCTGAATGATACCCAGAAAATATGGGATGTGACTATAAGATAGGAAAGTCAAACCTCCTGATCTGGTTGACTCTGTAATAGTCAGTGTTTACCAGAGCTATAAATTCAAAATGCGAATGGCTACCTACAAATAAAGGTTGATAGATTGTCTCGACATTAGTTCAGTATAGACTTGGAGAGGCAGGATGTTTTATTTATCACATATTGCATATTTTATACATCATAATGCTTCTTTATTTCCTAATGTAGTCTTTTATATTGACAGTTGGAAAGGGTAATTTTTAACTTGGAGCCCATGCAACTATTAAAATAAAGAGAAATGTTCAGGTCACACCAATATTTCTGCTGCCTTTAGACTCCAGTGGGAAAGGTAGAACAATAATAGAGCCGGAAACATTTTGACATTTTCTTTGTTGTTAAATTAAGTAAGTGACTGATTTCATCATTGTAATATGGTGATAGTTGTCAGAGAACTGTCCTCATTGGAAAAATCATTTCTAGCTTAAAGTATCTTCCCCTGCCTTTCCTTACAACTATCCATTTCAGGACCACTTTGTACAGGCATATCTCGTTTTATTGCGCTTTGCTTTATTGAGCTTCACAGGAGGTATGTTTTTTACAGATGGAGGGCAAGACCCTCCACAACACACAGATTACAACTCACTTTGTTTTAATACTCGCTTTATTACAGTGGTCTGGAGCCAAACCCACAATATCTCCAAGGAATTCCCATATTTAAATGTTTTTATGCATCAAAGACTCTTCTGTCTTCATGAAAGGAATAGTTGTTCATTATTTAAGTAAAAAATACAGAAAAGTAAAAAGAAGAAAGCAGTAATTTAGTCAGAAACAACTGGCCCATGCTTCTCACTATGTATGTACTTACAGAGATAGAAGCAAGCTTGAATAGTTGGAAGGCAGGAGAGAGGCAGACTTATGGATAAATGGACAAAACATTTTATAAAAATAAGATCACACTTTACAAGTTCTTTTTAAATAAAATATTAGATTTGGTTTTACTTAAATCTATAAAAAGAAAAAAAAACTTCATTCTAAGAAATACTATATCCTGGAAGATCCCTTTAAGACAGCGGTTCTCAACCTGTGGGTCGCGACCCCTTTGGCGGTCGAACGACCCTTTCACAGGGGTCGCCTAAAACCATCCTGCATATCAGATATTTACATTACAATGCATAACAGTAGCAACATTACAGTTACAAAGTAGCAACGAAAATAACTTTATGGTTGGGTCACAACATGAGGAACTGTATTTAAAGGGCCAGAAGGTTGAAAACCACTGCTTTAAGAAAATAGGTTATGCAAACCCCTCAAAGGTTGTCGAAACTGTGTTCTTTTTAACTGCATTTTTAAATTTTATACATTACTAGTTTTCCCTTCTATAAAGTGTAACTCTTAACATCCCCCATTCACACCCTCGTACCCATTTTTTTGTTGGTTTAATTTTTCTTGTTGAAGATATATTTATTCTCTCCTACATCTATAATTTCCCTCAGCTTTTAAATTTAGATCTTGGTTTTGATTCTTAAAGAGATTGAATGCTTTTCACCAGCCATAGCTTCTCCATTTTGGAATTATTTTGATTGGTTTCTTATTTGACTGAATTTTCGTAATCATTATTTTTTTTTCAAGAAGGGCTCATGGGTTCCAAATTGTTTTCATGCTTGAATTTTATATCTAGATACTTTTATTTTATGTATAAAGAGAGAAAATACTGTCTGCATATCATTGGAGAATAATTACTTAGTGAAATCAAAATTAAGAACTTAGGGAGAATTCTGGTGTAAAAGCAATGACTGACTACAGCTTGAACAAGATCCACCTGTCACTCTTGGCTGCCCTGTCCTAGGGAGAATCACCATGCCAGCAAACCACAACCTATTCATTTGCCACATTAATGAGCCTTCAGTGATTTGGAAGGATTAATGTCTACTTTTCTAATGAATCAAACCATTTTTTACTAAATGCTTTAAGAAATTTCTCCAGAAAACCTAAATCAAACAGTCCAGTTAAACATGATTACTGTTCTGTAAGGAAATCTCTGTATGCCTGGAAAAAAGATTGAAATCTTTGGGTGAGGTACTATTGGTAACTTGTTTCTTCTTTAGACTTTTCTTTATTTTTCACATCTTTAATAACCATGTATTTCACTTTTAATGGAAAAGTAAACTTTAGACTTAAAAATTTAGCATCTTGAAGATATAAATTTCAAATTCTTCATTCTTAGAGAAGGCAGCAATTTTCAACCACTATGCCGTAAGAATTTCAAAATTTGTAATACATATTTATCAGGGGCCACTGACCTCTTGTCCCTTAGATTGTCAAATTAAAAAATGACAACAGCCAACACAATAATAGCTACCCAGTGTCAGTCAAAATATACTTATTTGTGTCAGATAGGCAAAAAACATATTTGTGTGTGTGCACAGAAATTTAGTTTGTGTGCCATGAGATGATAAAGGTTGAAAATCACTGCTTTGCAATCAGGTAATGTTTACCTGAGTATCAGCTCACAACTTGTAGTATTTGAATATGGACCTCAAGATCTCTTGTAGGTATTTCCCCTAATTTTTTTATTATTAACTGAATTTATTGGCTTTAGAATTATTTCTACTGTTTGGGGTTTACAAGGTATCTTACAAGCTGAAAATTTGACCAGATTATACAGTCATCACATTTTTTCTAATTGAATATATATTATCAGGGTATTAGAGCAGTATTGTATCTTTTAAAATCAGTTTTGACTAGCTGTTATAAAGTTTCCATGCAATTTATATTATTTCACTGATACTATAATATGTTGATACACACTACTTATAAAAAGTATGTTTTGAAAGCACACTTAATTTCAACTAAAGTGTTTCATAAAGTTATTAGCCGCTCTTTGCTTAATTGTTTAGATATTCTTACTTAGTGCTGTGAACTTTAAAAAAAAAAATTTTATTCAAAAGTAGCAAAACTTGTATTATCCCAATCCACATTCTCACATTTATTTAGCTCCATTTGTCATGTGACATGAATCCTAGGTCCATTAACCTTCTGTGTCAAATTGAGTAGAATGTTGATTATGGACAACAGTTCTGAGTTTAGTGTTTTATACATCAGCCTTTTTAAGATCCTCATTTATCTTATTGTTATGTAATTGTTCAATTTGACTGAATTTTCATAATCCATTGTTTTTGGATTACACATTCAACATTGTTTGCATTTGTGGTGTTTTTATCTACTGTCTTCAATATTTAGAAATCTTATCTGAAACAAAACTCAAGCCTGCTGCATTGGGTAAACCAGCTCCCAAAACTGAAAGTTGCCTGGCTACTCCTAAGAAGTCTGAAGACGCTACAGAAACTGGTTCCTGTATTCATTTTCAAAATGTAGGTATTAAATTTCAAAACAATATTCATTGTGTCTTTATGTTCTAAAATCACATTAAAACCAAATTATAAGTAATTAAATATATGAAACTTCTTTTGCTTCAAGTGTTCACTTATTGAACAGGTATTGCTTTTCTTATTTAGCAGAACATTATTAACCTTGTCATTTTATTCTTTGTGGGTTTTTTTTTTTTTTTCAAATCACCTGTCTTTGAATCTTATATGTAAATCTATAACAAAGTAATGCTTTTATTTAAAAGGATTCTTCAGGATACCGTGATGGGAACATGGATACAGAATTAATTTTGTTTAAAAGAGTTCAAGAAGCAGAGGAAAAATGGAGGGGTGCACAAGCCGTAATTGAGCAAATTAAAGTCACATTCTCAGAAAAAGAGAGAGAGTTAGAAAATAAGATGGAAGAACTAAAAAGGCAACAGGAAAAGGAACTCTTCAAATTGAGTCAGGACAATTATATTCTTCAAACCAAGGTACTAGACACATTGTTCTATTCTTTTTTATTGATTAAAAAAGAACTTGTACTCTCTGCTAAATGCATTGGCACCTTTTGTTCCCTCGGGCTGTTTGCTTGATGTATTTGCTGTATAAAACATGAGCATAGTTCCTGAGAGTGCTGATTTACACAAGAGTCTAATTCCAACTCCATTGCGGGGGAATCAAAATACATATACTAGCTCATTCTGATATTTTTCTTCTTTTAGCAGTCCTTTTTAAACTAAATCCCTTAGTTCAGCGGTTGCCAACCTTTCAGACCTCACGGACCACCGGTTGGCGACCGCTGCCTTAGTTCACTGTGACCTTCAAAGAAGACAGTTCAGAAGGAACTGCTCTAGAAGGTCAGAATGAAGAGAATGGCACTCTGTAGCATTTCTGAGTTACTTCCATTTCAGAACCATTAGCACAAAACGATACTAATGGTTTAACTGTAGTTGGTGTTATGTTTATTCCACCGTGGTTATAAAACTGTTATTCCTTCCTTCCTCACTTCTCACTTCATCATTTCTTTCCCCAAATAAAACAATTTCCGCATTTTCTCAAGGTAAACAGCTTTGGAGAAACAAACAAAAAACAAAGGTGGTTACATGTTGGAGAAACAACTGATCCTGTCACTGAAGAAAAATTGAAGCAAATCCAAAAAGAAATACAAGAACAAGAGACACTTCTTCAAGGATACCAACAGGTATGGTGGTTCTTCGGCACATAGTGAGGTTGTTCTTGTGATCCTCTGATTATAAAAACAAGGAATATTAAAATGTGTGTGTGCTCATTTAACAGGTAATGGGAATTCTGGCAAATATGAGGTAGTGATAATTTGACTAGTCTGCCCATTTCTCATGGACAGAATTAGAGTGGTTAAGAGCACAGGTTCTAAATTCGAAGAACCTGGTTTTAGACTTAGCTCTACCATCTGCTGTGCAGTCTTGGACAAATGACTTTACTTCTCTAACCCAATTTTCTCATCTATGAAATGGGGATGATGATAATAGTACCTGTCTCATAAGGCAGCTATAAAATTAAAACAGCACAAACTAACCTCTTAGTGCCTGGCACAGACTAACCAATCAATGAATGTTGCCTGTCATTATTTTTAATAGTCATGTTCCTTAAAAACTTTCCTATTTTCTATAAAGCTTTTCAGTAGATAATATTGAATAGTTTATTCAATTGAAAAATGTGAATCAGTTGAGAGTGAAAAAATTTTGAATTAAATGAGAGAAAATGTGTCCTACAGAAGGCAAATATCCATGATATGTGATGGAATCTTGGTGATGTTGACCTGACAGTCAACCAGGATAGGTTTAGTAATCTCCAGCATGAGATTTCATCTTAGTCTCTTCCCTCCCCTTCTCCTTCTATCTTACTACCATTTTCTCTTTTTACAACCATAACTTAAACATTGAGCCTACCAATAACAAGCATTATCATCCAGGGACATCCCAAAAAAACATTACCACATCGGAGAGTACAACAGTTACTATAAATGAAATAAGTTTGATTTTTAATATATTTTTATTGATTCAAAGAGAGGAAAGGAGAGGGAGAGAGGATAGAAACATCATTGATGAGAGAGAATCATTGATTGGCTGCCTCCTGCATGCCTCCCGCTGGGGATTGAGCCTGCAACCCGGGCATGTACCCTGACAGGAATCGGACCATGACCTCCTGGTTCATAGGTTAATGTTCAACCACTGAGCCACACCAGCTGAGCAAAATAGGACTGATTTTGTAGGACATATTACCCTTGAATAAGACGTTTCTGAACGCTTGGCCTGCCATTCTGATCTTGCTGTACAGAGCATGGGTTTTTAGGAGGATTTCACAGACCTAAAAGTTTGCCAACCATCCCCTCCCACAATGATAACACAAAATTTATGTTCCTATATATTTATGTACTTTCCTCTGGAACCCAGTATTGGAATGCGATTATTCCTGCAGTCACTCACCCATTTACTCTTGTGAAATGCAGTATCTCATTCTGACCTTAGGCGCTTTGGCTTTGGGAATCACTGCAACTTTTTTTAAAAAAATAAGCATTTTGGAAAGAACTGTTTTCAGATAGATTATCCTTCTATGATAATAAAGAATTTTTAAAAGATTTTGCTTACTCAAAAACTGAAGAAATTTTTTAAAACCTTAAAAATGGTTAAAGTGTATCTGTTATGAGCATATACTTATGTAAGTACTACTTTCAACTAAAATGTAATTTTCTATTTATAAAAAGGAAAATGAAAGATTGTATAATCAAGTGAAAGATCTCCAAGAACAAAACAAGAAAAATGAGGAACGAATGTTCAAGGAAAACCAGAGTTTATTCAGTGAGTTAGCTTCCTTAAAGTAAGTCCCTTTTAAGTTCTTAAAATAAAATACTTATATTACTTCTAAGCACTTTATTGTTATATTAAAAAATACATTTAGTTATACTTAGAAATGAAAAACTTTTATACACTGATTTACAGTTTCATAACTTAGATATTTTGAATATTTAACAGATTTTTCTTTTGGTATTAGATGAGAAATACATACTATAAGTATTCAGCATATTTATATTTGAGTTTGGGATCACCTTCAGAAAACTGAACATATAATATTCCTCTTGATCGATCATGAAGCCTGAGATGCTTATGTAATGATAGTAGTAATAATGCCTTTCATAATAATGCAAAACAAAAATCATACAATATCACTTACTGTCCTAGATCAGGTTCCATACAAGTAGAGTCTCAGATGGAGGTCTTTGTGGAGGTGATTCCTAGGGATAACTCAGGAGAAAAGGAGCAAGAGAAGCAAGATGAGGGATGGGCAGGGGGAGGGAAGGTAAGTAAGAGTGTGTTCTCAGCTGAGAGTGCCTTCATTCTGCTCTCGCCAGGAAGCTTGGGAGAACAGGTTGCACCACATAGTTGGTCCCCATTGAAGCAAGAGAGGGCAGCCTTTTGTATCCCAAGCAAGTCTGTCACTGGCCATGAGGAGCCCAGGAAGCGGTTGAGGGCTATCCTCTGGACCAGCGGTCGCCAACCTTTCAGACCTCATGGACCACTGGTTGGCCACCACTGCTCTGGACCAAGGGGAGGAGTTGCTGTTTACCTGAGGCATTTCTCCAGAGAAGGAGAACCTTGAGTTATCGACCAATACTAACCATAGTGAGCAGATGGAGCATGAGCACCTACTTAGGAAGATATTTCAGGTCTTTGGGATGTTACTACATCCAGCTTTCACATACTAAGTGAAAAAGCTGAATCCATAAACATGGGCATGCTAGGACACTTCTGCCTTTAGGAGATGACTACCAGTTGTGCATCATTTCACATAAACACGTAACTCTTAGGACTGCTCAGAAGAAGCTTCTGTGGCTGTGAATGTCATGAATGCTGTATTTATTCATACTTCCTGCTCTTTTTTTGTTGCTGTGAGATAACCTAGGGCAGTGGTCGGCAAACCGCGGCTTGTGAGCCACATGCAGCTCTTTGGCCCCGTGGCATGGGCCACGAAGTTTCAATCACACTGTACGTGCGCACCTGCACGTGGTATTTTGTGGAAGAACCACACTCAAGGGGCCAGTTTGCCAACCACTGGCCTAGGACAAGCACGTCAAACTTAAAGGCTAACACAGGCCAAATAAACGAGGTAGGCAGCCCGTGAGTTTGACATGCTTGATCTAGGGCAGTGGTTCTCAACCTTCCTAATGCCGCAACCCTTTAATACATTCCTCATGTTGTGGTGACCCCCAACCACAAAATTATTTTCGTTGCTACTTCATAACTGTAATTTTGCTACTGTTATAAATTGTAAATATCTGATATGCAGGATGTATTTAGGCGACCCCTGTGAAAGGGTCGTTCGACCCCCAAAGGGATTGCAACCCACAGGTTGAGAACCGCTGATCTAGGGTTTAAGAGGCAGGGCTGCTGTTAGCTTATACCCGTGGTCGGCAAACTGCAGCTCACGAGCCACATGCAGCTCTTTGGCCCCTTGAGTGTGGCCACGAAGTTTCAATCACACTGTGCGTGCGCGCCCGCATGTGGTATTTTGTGGAAGAGCCACACTCAAGGGGCCACAGTTTGCCGACCACTGGCTTATACTGATCTTTCATGGGAAATAGAAAAAGTGCACCTTCTAATAGACAGACAAAGCTAGAAGGTATAGAGGTTGGCAAGCAAGGCCACTTTTTTGTAAGTTAGAAAAACAACAACTCTCCTTTTCACAGGTAAGTGCGACCCCATCCCAAGGGTAATAATCTGCACAGTTCTGATGCATGAAAGCTTTACATCTGCTTTCTTCACAGATATTTCAATAAAGTATTTAAAAATATTAGATCATATACTACCTGGCTATTAAAAGAGAGCTATTCCAGGGTCCAAAACTGAAACTCTAAATGAACTTTCATAATGAAATAAACGGTTTATTTTGTACATTAGGGTTAGATCATCATATATGGATTCTTAAACTTCTTATATAATGTCTCTGGGGAAAAAAAGCAGACAGAAAAATTGAGCCTAAGGTAAAAATAGTAGACTGTTTGGGTTTGTGAGTTGCCATGTGTATGATTGGCAATTTGTGTTTCTCAGAAAGGAGTCTAGAATGATGTGACAGGGAGTACACAGCACCACAGGAAATATGCAACACATCTTTCTGTGACATTGATTTCTTCTTCTCTGGGAATTGAGAGGAAAGAATTTTATAGTTCTATTTTTAGTTAGCTTCAGTGACTCACATAGAGTTTTTAATTTTTAAAAATTGAAAATTTTGCATTGAAAAGAATACCTTGTAAAAAAACATTTTTACTTTCAAAATAAATCAGAGAACAGATGCAAAGAAATCGTTTCCTGTCTCAGGTAGTTGAAGATTCAGAGCCCACCAGAAACCAGAATTTTACAGATCTGTTAACAGAACTACGAGTGGCACAGGTAAGTGGAATAAGGATTTTGACTATTAACAATAGTAAAGATTATTATTTTAAAAATTAGCATATGTATAAAAATCTTTGTAATTTATGAATGAATAAGATCCTTTTATAAATTTCATACCACTTAAAAATTAAAAAATATCAAAGATTAGCATTTAGCACATACATGTAACCTTAATGTAGAGGAAACAATGTAATTCTGGCTTTATAGATGGCATCCTCTTTATAACAGCCTCTCTTCAGGCATTTATTATATGGATCCATGTTAGAGGCTTAAACTTATTTAGTGTATGCATACATTATTTCGAACAGATTCCTCATGGAAAATGTACAGCTTAAATAGGAAAATAATTTGAAGATCATTGTTCACCTTAAAAACATAGTTGGCTTTTTAAGTGGACTACACACTTATAGGGGGCAGAGACTATATCTATAAAGATTTGTGTCTGACATACATACCACAAAGGTAAAATGGATTAGTTACTCCCTATTTTTTCTTTATTTTTATTAATTATATTGTAGTATTATAAAGAAAATGGCCTAGAATTTTATGGAGCAGTATTTATCAATAGGAGACACTTGGGGCAGGTTAATTCTATTTTAAGTAGAACAATGTCATGTATTACATAATTTTTATAAGCTCTGTCTGCAATGCACCTACCAATCATTGTAAGAATCAAAACCACTGCCATGTTTTCAAACACTCCCTGTGGGAGGGCAGTTAATTCTCCCCATAAGAACCATAGCACTAAACTAAAAAGCCCTTCCACTCTATTTGAAGGATTATGAAAACTAGAAAAATTCCAATTACATATCACATTTTAATCAGAAATTTATTATGTAAACTGAGGTTATGGTTATATAGAAATTTAAACATATACCATCTATAATAATAATAAAAGCATCATATGCTAACTAGACCAGATGACCTTCCAGACGAAGCCGGGGCTGTGAGGGAAGCCAGTGCTGGCAGCCGGGGGAAAGAAGGCCTACTCTTGCACGAGTTTCATGCATCAGGCCTCTAGTAGTTTAATAATTGATGTTTAACAGGTTTTTGTAGTATATAAAATGCAACTGCAAATATGAATCCATTAGAGAACTTTCTTCAGATGCGAGTATGTACAGAATAACTATTAGATAGAGACAAGATACCAGGACATCAGGCGGCTATATCCTTCAGTGAAACAGTGCACTAGGAGAAAATCCACCCACCTTCATAAGGTGGCTGAGATGTCGAGTAAGCTTTTACTTGATCTCTAGATAGAGAAGGTGGAAAAGTCTCATCTGCTTGATGCCTGTGCTTTCCTGGTTCTTCAGTGTAAATATCATTTCTTCTGCCGTCATTTGTGTTTTAGTTTATGAATTGACATTACCTGCAGGGGATAGTCATGCTCAAACAGCAGAAAAATAAACTGTGGTCCAGAATCAGTGATGATCCCTAATGTGTTAGAAGAAACAAAGCAAAACAACTCTTAGAGGTATACAGCCTTACTGAGCTCACAGCATTCCTACAGGTAAAATCCCGCTGGCAGTATGCTCACCGTGCAAAATGACACAACCCAAAGAAGCAATCCACAGTGAGCAGGCATGGGACGATTTAATAAACAGTAGGATTAGCACCCCAAAAGAATTACTGAATAGACTATAAAATAAATAGCCTTAAAATTATTAAATATACTAAATAAATAAACTATGAGCAAAAGAAGGAAACAGACTAGGCAAATTCAGAGTAAAATAAACAACTTTTGAAATAAAATATATTCCTGAAAACTAAAAAATAAGTGAGAAGTTAAATAATCATATACAACTGTGGAAAAAATAGTAAACTAGACGATATATCTAAAGAACTTAGAATGAGACACAGAAAAATAGAGAAATGGAGATTATCAGAAATATGAGATGTTAGAGTAGTTAGTATTTTTAAAAGGTAATGGCTGAACATTTTCTAGAAATTACAAGAGATGAATTCTCAAATTCAGGAAGCACAGTGAGTCCTACTTAGGATAAATAAGTTAAAAATCTATATCTAGGCCCATTATGGTGAAACTACCAAAGGCAGAGAAAACCTTAAAAGAAATTTTAAGAAAAGAAAAAGTGTTAGTTTAAGGTAAAAATTCTTTGGGGATTTATTTGTACAAATACCAAAAGGTGGGATGTAAATACCTTTATTTTTATTCCCTTTGGTATTCTGTGTTTAAATAGTTTTAGAGCAAACATTATTCCTACTGGGATAAATCTGTAATATAATGATATTCACATCAAGTATACTTGTGTACAGTCTAATTTGTATCTTAAAAATATTAATTGGTTTAGTCTTAACATGTGAGTTGGTTCTTTATAAACTATGGATGGATACATACTAATAACAAAGGTCTTGAGCCCTTTCCTTTTAGTAACCAGGGTGGGGAGGAGAATGAGGCTGACCACAGGTCATTCATTCCATCAGTCTTTATCAAGCACCTGCCAGGTGCCAGGCACTCACACTGGCCTTGGGAAAACAGTAGATAAAACAGGGTAGGCATGGATCTTGCTCATTAGGAACATATATTCTAGTGGGAAAGACAGTAAGTAAACCAATGAAATACTGCACATAGTGGTCAATTCTTTGAAGAAAGTAAATCTATATATGTAAAAGCCTAAGTGACCATCCAACCATCTGACTGGTAGATATGCCGCATCCTGACCACCAGGGGGCAGACGCTTAGTGCAGAAGCTGCCGAGCAACAGCAACTTTGCAGAGTGCCCTCTCGTACTCCGGGACCCCTCGGGAGGATGTTGGACTGTCGGTTTTGAGCCGAGGGACCTCCCCTGCCAAAGGGACCCCGCTCACTCCACAGTCGCCTTTCGAGCCCTGGTGCTGCCCCGGGTGCGGCTGTCTGGGGAGGGACCAAGGGAGGTTGGCTTGAGGGCATGTCCGGCCCATCTTGCCCAGTCCCACCCTGCCAGCCCTTCTAATTAATTTCCTTTCAATGTGCACGAATCCATGCACCAGGCCTCCAGTGTAGAGAATAATGGTGGGTGGGGTGGGGGAAGGCAGTATCCAATTGGGTGGTTGAGGAGGCACTCTCTGAGAAAGGGATGTCTGAGTTGAGAGCTAAAGAGAAGCAGCAGCTAACTGCAAAGATCAATCCTTCTAGCCATGGGGAAAGCACAAGCCCTAAATAAAAAATGGCTTACCTTCCAGAAGCAGAGGCCTCTGAGGCAGAAGTGGGTGAGTCAGGACGAGAGTGATGGAAGGTAAGACCAGAGAGGCAGGCAGAGGCCCTATCTGGATGTCTCCCAGTACAAGGGAGGGGAAGTACTTGGATTGACGTGGGCATACAGGCCTTCTTACTGGTGGGAAGTCTCAGTCCCTGGACAGATGCAAGCATAAAATGGACATCCATTTAAGCAGTGATTGCATGTTTGAACTCAAGATGTTTAAAGTTCCTTTGAATTCTAAAATTCTATAATGCTATGAAGTAGACACTACGAGAGAACATTTCTAAATTGGCTGAATTAATTAAACAAAACAAAGGGTATTTGTAGAAAGATACTTGAGCATTCAAAAACTCATTGCTCTCCTGAAAAGACATCTGCAGAAGATGAAACAGTGAAATGATTCAGTTTAAGTCTGTGATGCAGATAGAAACCAAGATCATAAAAAGACTAGATTTTAAATTGTAAGGAAATATAATTTGTAAGAATTTTTATTTTGGAACTTAACTATATCAAGTTTACTGCCGTGAGCCCAAGAATTCAATTCAGTGTACATTTATTATCTGCCATGTGCTTAGCCCCATAATGTAAACAGGTAGTAATAAATCAGTCTGGATCCCCAGAGAGCTTTCAGCCTAATAAAGAGAAAGGGCATGTACACAAACAGAAAGTAACAAGTGCTCTACTAGAGGTAGAGTGAAAGTTTGTGGGGGCGCAAGGGAGGGAATAATCAGGAATAGCCCCATCTGAACTAAGCTTTGAAGGAGAGGTATGATTTTGTCAAGCAGCAGGATGGGGGCCATTGAAAGGAGTGTGGAACATAGGGCATATTCAGAATTCACTCCACGTTTTTTTTGATGTGCCAAGCATATATCAGGTGGTGATGAGTGTTGTTAGAAGAAAATAAAGCATTATACCTGGGAGCCAGGATAGGGGTTGCTATTTTAGAGAGTGATCAGGGAAGGTCTTCCTGAGGCTTCATTTGAACAGAATTCCTGAAAAGTGAAGGAGCAAGCCACCTGCTATCTGGGGGCACAGGAAATAGTAAGTGCAGACACATTGGAGTAGGAGTGTGCTGGGCGTGTTCAAAGAACTAGGAGGTCTCGGGGGAGTGGAGTGGGAGGGGGCAGATTGTAGTAGGTGCAGTCAGAAATGTGAGCAAGGCTGCTGTATGTGACATTGAAGGTCATGGTAAGGACTTTGGGTCCTTGGAGGATGGCAGCCAGAGAGTTTCAAGCAAAGGAGTGATATTAACGGACTCTAAAGCAATCCTCTGGCTGCTGATAGAATAGACTATGGATGCTGAGAGTGGAAGAGGCAGGTTATTGCAGTATCCAGAAGTGAGAACAGTAGATGAGAAGGTCTTTCAGGTTGTACTGAGTTAGATGATTAGAGCTAATTCTAATAGGCTGTGGGGAGCTATTAATAATTTGGGGTGTGTGTGTGATAAAATCAGAGCTAAAATTTAGGAAAGATAATTAGGATTTGTAATAGATTGTGTGAAAGAGACTATGCTACAATTTATGTTGGTTTAAAAAAATTTGCTTTGGTATTTCTATGAATATCAAGAAAGAAAAAAACAGTTTATTGGAAGACATCAAAAGACTGAAACAAGACAAACAAGCTCTTGAAGTAGACTTGGAAAAAATGAAGAAAGACAGAGACCATGCCAGAGATCAGGTTGCTTATGTCACAGGTAACACACTGAGCTAAAACAGTTCACCTTTATACTCATAGCTGTTTAATCGGGAATTTAAGTAATAGCATATGGACAGTATAATCAAATGCTATTCCTTGAAATATGTGTAATGTTAGAAACTTTTTAATTAGTAATAGGTATGTGTATTTGATTGGCTTTATCAGGGATAATGATAAGATCAAAGAAAATCAAGGTCTATTTTTAATTTGCAGCATTAGTTGTTTACATCTGTCATCCCAGCTAGATTGTGACCTTTCTGAGGGTCTGGTCTGCCTTTTTATCCCGGGGTCTAAAATGTAGGCTCTCAGGTATTTGCCAAAGAACAAATAACACTGCACTGTGTTTGTAGAAAACACAAGGATAAATATGGCATTTTCTACCAGGGAAAAGAAGAGAAAGTAAGAGAAGAATGAAAAAGTTTAATATGAAACAATTACAAATAAATATGAGTCAGGGTGCTAAGCAAGAGTTTCAGGGAGGTGTGGCATTTGAGCTGGGTCCTGGCAGAGGGTAAGATTCAGAAGTGAATTACAGGCTGCTGTTCTAGTGTTTCATGAGCATGATGCTGAGTGCACTGTGGGTTGGATGGCAGAACATAGGGCCAGAAAGGTAGATCAGAAGTTCTTGTTTGCCAAAGTAAAGATATTTCCTCTGCAATATTATGATCTCAGTACAAGATATGTACAATAAAAGTCACTTACCTGTTTGTAAGGAAATTATACTTATTTTCCTCATCTGTAAGAAGAGAATAAGAATGAAAGCCATCATATAAGTTGTGTTAAAATCATGCATGGTAAGCATCTACTAATGTTTGCTATTGTTACTTTTTAAATAATTGTAGGAATGCTCTATTTTTATTATATCTTGAATCCAATATTTATTTTTCCATGGAAACAGGTTTACTTTTTTAAAAATATATTTTATTGATTTTTTACAGAGAGGAAGGGAGAAGGAAAGGGATAGAAAGTTAATAACATCGATGAGAGAGAAACATCGATCAGCTGCCTCCTGCACACTCCCTACTGGGGATGTGCCCGCAACCAAGGTATACATGCCCTTGGCCGGAATCGAACCTGGGACCCTTCAGTCCCCAGGCCGACGCTCTATCCACTGAGCCAAACCGGTCAGGGCACAAGTTTACTTTTATAATGAAAGTCAGTGGGAAGATAATTGATGTATCGAAAATGTCTACATAGCTAACTTTGCTAAGTTTGAGGATTTAAGATTAAGAACACAGTTTTCATCTCCCTTTATTAATAAGTTAAATTAGACACTACCTTGCATCTCATCAGTGGTTTTTGCCTCTTATTTTTTCATAATGCTTTTATTAGTTAGGCATTGTTTTTCATTTAAAATCTTTAATTTTCATATTTTGAAAAATTAGTTGTTATTGAGTTATTTTATCCTATAGGTGAAAAATTATATGAAATAAAAATTTTAGAAGAAACACATAAACAAGAAATTAGTCGTTTGCAAAAAAGAATACAGTGGTATGCAGAAAATCAGGAACTTCTGGATAAAGATGCAGTTCGACTTAAAGAAGCAAATGAAGAAATTGAGAGGCTCAAACTTGAGGTAATAGATCATTTAGAGTGTATTTCTGTGGGTCCACCCTATTGCATTCAACAGTTTTTCTTAGCCTTATGTCATTAATACTCTAAATTCTTGAATTAAAATAGCTGGTTTGGGTTTGCTTTTAGATGTGTAGTCTAGTTTAGATTATTCTGCAAATAGATCCAAGCTCCTTATCATGACCTGTCAAGTTCCCACGTGGTCTGCACTCTGCCTGCTCTTCAGCCTCATCCAAACCACACTTCCACAAACCACTCTCCCTCAGCCACACCACAGCACTCACTGATTCTTGAACATGCCAAGCTCACACCACTTGTTGCCTTCACCTAGATTACTCTGTCCTTGGTTTTCCTTTGTCTCTCCTTGTTCAGGTCGCAGCTCAAATTTCTACTCCCCAGAAAGACCTTTCCTGACCACCTTATCTAATGTAGCTGCCAACTTTGTCCTCTCTGACCCTTTCTTCCCATTCCTTCACTCTTTTTTTTTTCTTCAAGGCACTCTCTGAGGTTATTTTGTTATTAATTTATTAGCTTATCAACTCTCTCCTTCCACTAGAGCATAAGCACCAAGAAAGCAGGGACCTGGTTTGGCTTGTGCACCCCCACCTTGCCAGCACAGTGCCATGTCTGTAAATTAATAAACGAATGAATAAACTCCATTGTGCTTTCCTCCTTGTGTTTCCCGGGTGTGTTTTAAATATGCTTCTTTACACGTTTTTACTTATTGATAGGCTGAGAAACTGAAAGCTGAATTTGGAAATCCATCTCTTCAGAGGAAGACACATTTAAAAGATAAAGCAGCTGATGCCAAAAAAATTCAGGACCTAGAGCGACAAGTATGTGTTCAGGGTAAATTTTCATTAAGGTATACGTAGAGTCTATTGTGTTTTTTCTTGTTTCAGTTTCTATAAGATGTGGTAATATAAAACTGCCCCTACTTGACATACGTATTTAAAATAATATTAATAAAAGTAGTAAACAATATCATTTTATATAATCTATAGTTTATGCATAAAGAGTTAAACTTGTGTGCCTCATTGGCTGGTAGACCTATTGAGGACAGGTTATTTTACATCAGCTCTATTAGACATGAAGGAAGAGGAAGCAGAATTTAGAAACTCGGTGTAGAGCTGGGAACATGTTGGCAATGCTGGGAAGCATTACCAGACTCCCTGGGAACAGAACATTCAGCACCCAAAGAGCTGGCGATAATTTTGAGCTCTTACTCATTATTTAGGCTTAAAAATAATCATTTCCTAGTTAGTGTAACTGGGGGACCTTTGTCAAAAATCATATAGTGATTTTTATTATGATATTTTTTTTCATTGAAGTAGTTTTGTGAGGTGGAATATTTATTAGTTAATGTTTTCCTTCTGTTTTTAAACTTTCTATAATTAGTTTTTTCTATTCATAACTAAATATTAAAATAAGGTATTCCAGCCCTGTTGATGGAGAGCATGAGTTTTCAGTCAAGTAATGACACTTAAGTGTATGGCTATTATTCCATCACAAACCCCAAACTGTGAGGTCATCACCAAGCTGAATATTATTTCAGTTTTATGAGAAGAAGGAAGACAAAGCAAAAAGTTACCTCTGTTACTTTTATAGGCTCTGTTCTTATATTAAAAGGTATGACTTGGAGTGTGATTCAGTTCCCGGAAAGGAACCACAAGATGATCTGAAGAGCTAGAAATATTCTGAAGTAACCAGGATTGCTGGGCTCTTTTTCAGTGGTTAGATTTAGATTAGCCATCCAGATTTGTGAAACAAAACCAAAGAAAATACCTCTCTAATAGATACATTTATTTTAAAAGAAATAATATAGAACTGAATGTGTGAGAAAAATATTAAGCATGCTTAATAGCAAAATTAAGATGTGAAATGGTGATAATGACCAGAAATATGCTTTACAAAAGTAACCTCCCTCTTTTTTAAAAATCTTTGTTGTTGAAAGTATCACATATGTCCATTCCCCCCTCATAACCTTCCTCTTTTATTAACACTTCCATTAAAAATGTATTAGTATCATCTTCGATTATATCTTTCTAAAATATTATCATTAGTAGTATTTTGTATAGTTGGCTGCATGTACATTTTAGATATTATTAACTCTATTCCCATGAACATTTCTATCTTAATGATGTTAAACCTTAATACTTATTTTATAATCAAGATATATTATATATATTCAGGCTCATTTTGGAGCCATATATTCTGAAATAGCTTAATTACAGAATAATATATCTCCTTTTCTAAATAGCACATAAGTAAAAATGGAGCTAATTAAATGCATATTATAGTGAAAATCAAATTATATGCATTTGTTCATACTTTTATTTAATAGATATTCCAGTGAGAATTTTTAAAAAATTTTTTACTTTGTATGGCAGCGACACTAGTATCAGTGATTAAAGAATAATATTAAAAAGCAAAATTAAAGAAGGTAAAAATATACATTTCAAGATATCAAAATCAGATTGAAAATATTTCTTAAAATTTTAAAGGAATGCATTGTTAAATATATTAAGAGTTAGATCTTTTCTTTTTAATACATTTGGTGTATATGTATATACCCTTATATGCTTACATCTAATGGAAATAACTAGGTTTTAAATACCAGAGGAAGGAAAGCTTTGACAATTTTGTAGACAAATAAGTTATCAATATTTATATCTGAATACATCCCAGTTTATGGTACATCTGTGACTGTGCAAGCAGTTTTTATGAACGGAAATATCTGCTGTTAACTTTGCAAATGATGTGACCCTTCAATACCTAACATGAACGATGTTCAATTTATAAACAGGATGCTGAACACCAGCAACCCATCTTACCTTAAGGGAGGTAGTTTCTGAGACCAGCTCAAAATAAAAGACAGTAATATCAAGCCTCCCTAGATGGTGGGCACTCTGCTAAGCCCTTTACCAAAATAAACGTCATTTGTTCCTCACTTAATTGTATCAATGCCATGAAACTGGTATTATCATCCCCATTTTGCCAATGAAGCAGCAGAGATTTTGAGGAGTTGACGCAGGTCATAAAGCTACAGGCACAGTCTTAACAGCAAATGTGCTCTAGCTGCACAGACTGTCTCTTAGGTGCTATTTATTTATTTGATTGCATACTCAGAGACTAGAAACTGTTAAAAGAATATTGTTTTAGTATATGTTTTCCAAAGATATCTTAACCATAATACCGTTAACAAAAGAAGGAATACACACATATGAATATATAAAATCAAACTCTAATTTCTGTGGGCCCTGGTGCCATTCTCTTCTCCAGGAAGACCATATAATATGTTGTTGTTTTTATACGCTAAATGGACATTTTTGTCATCTAATCCTTCTTCCTAATTGAAGTCATTTTAAAATAGGTTATACTTCATTTGGAGGGGGTTAGGGTAGGATGGAGATTCTTGCAGGAAGGGGTATGCTTATTGCAATAAGTTTGCACATTCATGTGCATATAAGTAATATTTCAGTCAATAGCCAGCATAACTACCATTAGAAGAGATCTGTAGAAAAAAGGCGGGAAAAGAGCTTTGTCCTCAAAAAGACTGATTATTAATAGTAAAATAGTCCCAAGATCTGTTTCAAATGAATATAAGATGATTTCTATAAATTCACCAGTAATTAATTAGATATTATACTGTAAGATTTTTTAATCAGACAATCTAAGGTTGTAAAATTTGAAATTAATTTGTGCTTTTGTGCATTCAGTTCAGTCGTGAGATACAATATAAGTATCTCTGACATAACTGATATAGCGTAATCTATATTAAACTGCTTAATTATATATTTGCAAACTTACATATATACAAAAATGTTTTACTAGGTTAAGGAAATGGAAGGAATTCTAAAGAGAAGATATCCTAATTCTTTACCTGCTTTAATATTGGCTGCATCAGCAGCCGGTGATACAGTAGATAGAAACACAGTGGAATTTATGGAAAAAAGAATTAAAAAACTAGAAGCCGATCTGGAGGGCAAAGATGAAGAAGCAAAGAGAAGCCTTCGTACCATGGAACAAGAGTTTCAGAAAATGAAGGTAAGTGCCGTAAAGATGGGACTCAGAGATGGACCATGGGACAGACACTTCTTAGGTCTCATCTTAACAAATAGCTCTAAACATCCTTTCTCACAAAACCTTTACCTTGAGTGTCAGCTGCAAAAGCAACCTAGATTCATCCTACCTTTTTGTCCCCCTTCAGTAACTTCTTTCAAACGTGAAATAATCAAGCACAGGATAATCTTTACATGAGCCCCTCTCAGTGATACTAGAGTCAGTATAAATTAAGTCATGAAAAGGCAGAATAAAGCATCTCTGATATATATTCAGTATAAAATATTTTAATTGCTATGCTTGAAAATATTTCCACTGAAATTTGCATGTTCAAAGGCCCATTACTACAGGAGGTCATAGGACATCGGAACTGTTGCCATGTCACTCTCCTCACCAGGCTGTGAACTTTTTGAAGTCAAGAACTGAGTTTCTCTATCCCTAGAATCTGGCCCAGTGCCTGGAAAGCAGTGATAGCAAAATAAATAAATATTCATTGAATGAATGAGCTAACACTATCAGTGTCTCTTTCCACAGAGTAAACTATTGAGGTTATTTCATTTATAATAAAAATCTCCAGGATACAAATTTTAACCTAACTTACTTAACTCCATATGAGATTTCTAAATTGCTATTAGGGAGCTGAAAATGTTCTATACCTTAAAGACTTCAGTATCCCCAATCGCTTTTCCTGTTTATCCTCAAAGAGTATATAGTTTGTCAATTTGCATAGAGAAGGGTATACAATAATAGCTTTGATTGTAAGGTTTAAAATAAGCACTGGGGATACAAAAACATGTGTAAGTTAATGTTTATGAAGCAACATTAATTCTGAAATTGTGTAACATATATTGAGACTATATAATGTTATGCCCTTCAAAGATTAGGACTTTGATACATTTGGCTCAAGGAACACTGAGTTGAAGGCATCACAGTGTGTAATGAGTGCCTGTAAAAAGGAATTGGTAGGTCCTGGTAAGATACAGGGCTTCAGTAACTAATGAAATATTTAGCAGTGGTTTGACATTACATGGATTCTTTTCTTCAGATTCAGTATGAACAGAGACTAGAGGAACAGGAGCAGCTGCTTGCTCACAAATTGAAGGCAGCATCCCAGAACCAACATGACAACTCCAGGGTTAAAGCACTGGAGAAAGAACTTCACGACATTAAGGAAGCCCATGAAATCACTGTAAGAAACCTTGAAGCTGAAATAGACACATTTAAACAACAGAATGCTGAGTTAGAACTCAAGAAAAATAGAGATGATAATGATTTCCAGTCTATCGAATTCCAGGTGGAACAGGCTCATGCTAAAGCTAAACTGGCAAGACTCAATGAGGAGCTGGCGGCAAAGGGGAGAGAAATACAAGACCTTTCGAAAACTGTGGAGAAGCTTCAGAAGGAGAGAAGAATGATGCTATCCAGTCAGCACTCCAAGGGGAGGGAGGAAATGACTGCAAAAAGGGTAAAGAAGGAGGTTTCGCACGCAGGTAAAGGAAGTGCCAACTCCTTCCCTGGAACCCTGGATGGCAAGCTTTACCAGCCACATACCTTCACTGATTCCCACATTTCAGAGGTTTTGCAAGAAAACTGCAGATTGAAAAATGAACTGGAGAAAGTAATTGTGGAGAGGAATGAGTTGAAGATGAAATCTGACATAGCTATGAACCAGTTTGAGAATTCCATGAAAAGGTAAAATGTAAATTTGTTAATATGTGGAGACAAAAGATAAGTTTTTAAATTATAAGATGTATTTCCTCTAGATAATTAGTTATACCCTGAACTGAATTTTAAGAAGTAGTATTACATTGCTAAGCATAGATCTCTTTCATTTTGGAACCAGATTCTGATGAACCTGAATCTCCATGTGAACCCACACCATGTCCTGGGCTGACCAGTCTTTTCTACAAGAATTCAAATGGTGCTAGTGGGCCTTCTTGCAAATGAATGTCATTATTTGTAATTGCCATAGGCAGATTCCTGTCAAAAACAGCTATTAGGAAAAAGGGGTGACATTCGAAGAGGACAGGGTCCTTTTTTCCAGATTAACTCTTCTAAATTAATCTTGTGGTCACATTCATTCATCTTTCCTCCTCAGAATCTCCAAGTACTATCGCTGTCTTTCCTCTGAGGTTTCCAACATGCTCAGTTTTTTCGCCTGATCACACCAAGTTCTGGTCCCCTTTCTCTGTCTTTCTGTACCAATTTCCCACAAGTAGCTGCTTCTTTTTTCCCCATGTGGCTCTCCTCCACATTCTTTCAAACCTGGTCTCTCAGTAATGACTTTTCCCAGCCCAGTGGGGTTGTCTCCATCCTCGTTGTCCTTGACATTGTCCACTGTGCTGCTTTCTTGAGTGGTTCCCTCCCTAACCTCCATGATTTGGCCACTCTGACTAAAACTTTTTTTTCTGTTCATTTTAATTGACTCATGACTTCTCTTTATTCTCCCTCCTCAAAAATCAGATTTTCTAAGCCTGACATGCTGAATTTCTTCACTGCCTTATGCTTGTTCATGTTTCAAGTCCTGCCTCTTCCACAAAATATTTCCTAGACCTTCCCAGGAAATTGCCTGCCTCTGCCTTTGAGCTCTTATGTAATTTATATACCACGAAACACTAATCATAACTCTATCTTGTAGCTCCTTGAGAACTGATTTAGGATTATACTTCTTTTACAACCTGTAAACACAATAGCTTTGAGTGTGTGAGTTAAATCTTTAGGTGTACAAAAATGTAATTTAATTTTTTAAAAATATATTTTTACTGATTTTTACAGAGAAGAAGGGGGAGGGATAGAGGATCAGAAACATCGATGGGAGAGAAACATCGATCAGCTGCCTCCTGCACACACCCCAACTGGGGATGTGCCCGCAACCAAGGTACATGCCTTTGACCGGAATCGAACCTGGGACCCTTCAGGCCGACGCTCTATCCACTGAGCCACACCGGTTAGGGCTAATTTAATGTTTATAAAGCAATATATAAATTACATATTGAATATACAGTAACGCACTTCGAAGATTAGGATGTCAATACATTTGACTACTCAGGGAACACAGAGTTAGAGGCATCACAGTGTGTAATGAGTTCTTGAATTAAGGAAGAGGTAGGTCCTGGTAGAATACAGGCAAAATGAGCATAGGAAGCAGAATGAGAACAGATAATACCTAACATGTTGAGGTTTATTGATTGATTGGTGGTGACCTCTCATTGAGTCATCATGGTAACCATATTGCTTCCACATTGAAACTTTTTCTATAGTCCCGAATGTGATAGTATCAATGAAGCTATTTGTAAATAATCACATTCTTTCCTAGAAATAATTTAAAATTCAGGGTTTGTTTTCTGTAAATTTTTGTATACACATTTATAATTTTTGAGTATTGTTAATCTGTTTCTCAGACAGCTCTGGGTCTGAGAATTGAGATATAACCTTCCATGGTTCCAGATTCAGGCAGTTTTTTATTATGAGCACTATACCATGGGTGCTTCAGATTTTTATGCTTTTCTTAGGACCCTAATCACATAGTTTCCATTTAAGAGATTTTCATATAATCAAATGAGCAACTGATATATATTTGTTTGTAGTTTTGGAATTGTTATGTTAATAGGTATCAACAGTGATTTACTAAATATCTGCTTTGATTAAAATCCTGTCATTTTCAAATAATATTTCCAATAAGAGAGGAAATACTTAGCTATAAGTAATGTATCAGCTCTTTAGTTGTAACTTCACCATTTACTAAACTGCCTCTGAATGCATAAATTTTGTCACAGAGACAAATGAATAGTCTCTCATACTTAACAGTACAAATTAATTAGGTTCAGTTATCCTGTGTCCTGAGAATTACTGTAAAAATAATTTTATTCTCGCAACATGCAACTAGCCCAGAGTCATACGCATAGGTCAGAAACTGGAGAATGTTGGCTAGACAAAGCATTGGAGTTTTTCAAGGGAACAGTTGTGATTATCCAAATAACAATCTGGTCAAGAAATCTTAGTCTTTCTGAAAAGACAAGACAGACCCTCTGCTTTAAATCCACACAGAACATTTAGAACGTTCAATTCCCTCAGAAAGTGCAGCCCACACTGGGGATAGAGTGGAAGGCCTGCCCTGGATTCTAAGGTTCAGATGTGCTGGCTCGAACCACAGGTCTGCAGCTTACTGATCTGGATCCTAGATACATTCTTCTCTCCTAAACTCAGTCAGTAATTGTGAGCTCGTGGTGTGGTTCTAGGCAGTAAGTAATGTGTGAGTCCCCTAGCACAATGCAGTGGATACTGGTGCCCTCTCTTCCTTTGCTTCTTACACTGCTGTTGTGCTAGCTTCTGAATTAACGGTTGAAGAGCTGCTTTTATGTGTGGTTTTCTTTCATTTGCTCTAAAGGGTCAAGGAAGACACTGCAGCACACATCACATCTCTCAAAGCATCTCATCAGAGGGAAATAGAGAAACTCCTTTGCCAAAACGCAGTAGAAAATTCCTCTTCCAAAGTAGCTGAATTAAATCGTAAAATAGCAACTCAAGAGGTAGGTGACTTTAACAAACTTTCTTAGACTTCAATGTGATTTTTTTTTTTTCAGTGCTGTTAACAGAGCATTAATTTGGAAATACTTTAACTTCACTTCGGTATGTTGGTGATAGAAATGGTGTTGTTGGCTTGATTTTATGTTTATGAGGATGCCATTGCCATATGTTAAACTATTCTAAAGTTATACTCTAAATAAGTGTTTTACTGGTACAGTTTCATCCCTACATTTCTCAAGTAGATCTTCTAAGTAGGTGTTAATGGATGGGTGAGGGCTGTGTCTAATGTGATTGTAACCTTAGTACCTGAACTTGAATGTTTAAAAAACCTCCCTTTACCCCAAGTCCCAACTGACAAGTAATTGTCCTGGTTATTCTTGCCCCATTACCTTTTATTCATTAAACAAATAATGATTCTGGGTCTATAGATAGGCACCTGGGATAAAATAATGAACAGAGAGATCTAAATTAGTCTTTTTAAAATTATGACAGGGTATGCTGACAGGGTATACATTTCCTCAAAAGTGTCTTACTGTGTATATCTACTCAGATACCTATGAATATCTACCCTGTGGCCCTTCTTTTATGGTGTTAGTAAGTTGAAAAAACAAAACAAAACACATAGCATTAGGAAGGTAAGGGATGGTGGGGGTAAGGGAGAGAGATCAACCAAAGGACTTGTATGCATGCATATAAGCCTAACCAGTGGACAGAGACACCAGGGAGGTTGGGGGCCATTTGGGGGATAAGGACACATATGTAATAACTTAATCAAGAAAAAAAAAACAGCATTAAAATAGAATGGGCAGCTTACTTTCAAATGGTGTATCCAAAAAAAAAAAAATGTAGCAGAATGTTAACAGTTGGTAATTCAAGTTGAAGAATACGGGAATGTTCATTTTGCTCGTCATCTGTTTTGTAGGTTTTAATTTTAACAAACAAGCTGAGGGGGAAAACTTCAAGAAATAATTATATCTTGCCCTGGGTTAGGTCAGTTGGTTGTTGCATCGTCCCATACACCAAAAAGGTTTCAGGTTAAATTTCTGGTCAGAGCAGATAACTAGGTTGTGGTTTCAATCCCTAGTCGGGGTAGGTATGGGAGGCAGCTATTCGTGGTTCTCTCTCTCCCTAATATCAATAAAAAACATCCTCGGGTTAGGATTAAAAATAAAAGAAATAATTATTTCACCACCACCTTTCCTACCCATAATTATTTAGTAGAATCTTAATTAAAAAACAAATCCTCCAGTTGAGGAAGTTTGAATATTGGCTATATGTTAGATGTTATGAAATTATTGTCAATTTTTTTGGTGTAAAAATGTTACTGTGTTTTTTAGAGAAAAATACCCTTTAAGGAAATGCATGTTGAAGTATTTGGGGTACTTAAAGGTGAAATGTAATGAGGTCTATAATTTAGTCTCAGCTCAGAAATAACTGTGACTGTTTTTAATACTTAAATGAAAGAGATTTAAAGTACTTTTCAAAAGTAACCCTTATATAGACTTGTAGATAAGCTCTGTGGTCTTTTTCCTCATAAGAGTGGGTGTTAGTGTGCAGTGTAAACATTATATCAAGTGATTATATAGTAAGGAGCGGTCTAAGAGGTGGGAAAAGTAGTATTATGCCCTAGAGCCATAAATACATTGTTTTCCCAGAATTCTAAATATAATATTGCAAATTTTGAGTTAATGGAAATCATCATAGTCTGATCATAAAAACAATAAAAGTAAAACATTAGAGATAAGAGATGAATTTTTCCTGTTTTTTCAGTTTCTTGATAGAAGTATTGTGTTATTTCCATTTATTTGTCTAAAAGTATGAGACTAACATTTATTTCACAGATATTAAGCTTGTGTTATCTTTATTTAGTCAATAGCTCTTTAATAAAAGCTAATATTCTACTTAATCACAAAGTATAAAGATAATATTGGCCACTTTCTTCAGAATGCTTAGACTTTTTAAAAATCATTATTGATTTTTAGAATGAGAGGAACACTGATCGGTTGCCTCCCACAGGTGCACTTGCCCTAACCAGGGATCTAACCTGCAACCTAGGTATGTGGCCCTGACTGGGAATCAAACCCACTACCTGTGGTGTATGGGATGACGCTCCAACCAACTGAGCCACACCAGCCAGAGAAGAATGCTTACACTTTTTAGAGGTTTATCTTAAAGCCTTCAGGAGAAAAATACTAGAGATAAAAAGCCATGTAGTTACATAGTCATTAATTTGTAATATGTGATGCTTTATATTAAATGTTGAAAGAAACAAAATAATGAATTTATTCAATGAGTTTAATTAATTCAATGAACTTAATTCCTATGGCAACCTATTCCTATGTTAGAACTTTGTAATTTTAAAATATTAGGGTCTTTATGTTTTTAGCATAAACAAAAGTCATTAATTGGCTTTCTTATATTTTTTCAAATAATGTTCAAGGAAGAACTTTCTTAACTCAGAACTTCTACCATAATTTTCTAGGTACTTATAAAACATTTCCAAAATCAAGTTAATGAGCTACAAGATAAACAAGAATCTCTTATAGTTTCTCAAGTTCGAGAAGAAATCCTACAGAAAGAGGTAAGAAATCACGAAAATATTGGGCTAACATAAATTTATCTTAGCCATTTCAATCATATTAATATTTCTGCATTAATTTTTAACTTAAATGTACAAATAGACATAACCTAAAAATACCACAGTCAAGATAATATTAATATCTTGTTTCTGGAAACCTGCTTTCCCCAGATATTGATATTTTTGGGGTAGATTTTTAGTAGGTAAAATTAGATGGTTAAAGCCATTTCTGCATTAAGTACTAAGCTAATTTAGTTAGTAAATAGGTAAAGTAATCATCACAGTGGTGTTAGATCATCAATAATATAACTACAAGAAATAGATTTTTTTCAAAAACTCATAACAATAAGAGTTATCAATTTTTAAGTATTTAAGTATATACTAGGCACTGTGATATGAGCTCTATGTGGTTCTTCACAATAACCCCAAAGCTTAGGCACTATTATTCCCATTTTATAAAGACATTGATGCTAAGAAAAATTAAATAACTTGCCTGAGGTAACCAAGCCCTTTCGTTGAACATTTTGAGGTCGTTACCAGTTTTTTTTGTTGTTTTTTTAATGTATTTTTTTTATTGATTTTTCACAGAGAGGAAGGGAGATAGATAGAAAGTTAGAAACATCGATGAGAGAGAATCATCGATCAGCTGCCTCCTGCATGTTCCCCACTGGGGATGTGCCCGCAACCAAGGTACATGCCCTTGACCGGAATCGAACCTGGGACCTTTCAGTCCACAGGCCGACACTCTATCCACTGAGCCAAACCGGTTTCGGCACCAGTTTTTTCTAAGTAACAGGAAGCATTTTTGATCAGTCTTTGCTTATGTATCCAGTTATCAACATATATTCACCAAAATGCAAGAATTTTATAAAAATAAGTATTCAACTTTAATTATACCCTTAAAGGTGCATTTAAGTAGATACAAATGAAGAGAAATTTTCTGTATTTTTATTTTGAACTAAATTTCTGCTGATCTTTCTGCAGATCATCCAATTAAAGTCTACATATCTATTTAAAAATATTTTGATTCGCCTTTGACTCAATTTGCTTGTATTTTCACATTTTTAAAACTAATTTAGGAAGTGTGTATGTTTAGTATTGTCAATGTTATTAGGTAGTGGGTGTTTCCATGTAAAACAATTGAATTTGTTAATTTTATCTGTTTTCATTTGTTAATTATTTTGTCTTTTGATATTAGCAAATTATAATTATGTGATATAAAGAAAATAGAATTGTTCCATCAAACCCAATATAAAGATCCTTCAGATCCCCTCCATTTAACTCCCTGTTGACATAAAATATTACCGTTTTCTCTGTGTGCTATAATCAGAAAAAAGAGGTACTGGACTAAACTGCAATTCCCCATGTGTCTTTCATCTTTGCAACCTAAGACAGCAAGCACAGAAAGTTTATTACTTCATTATCTCTATTTCATGTGCATACATTTATTTGTGGGATGAATTATAAAATGATAAAAGCCAGAAGAGAAGTACAAATAGGATTATAGGGAGTTGACAAAAGAAGGATCCATATTTACTGAACTGTTTCTATATTACTTAATCTTAAAATTAATCACTCTATTAACAAATACTTTATAACAAAGATAAGTGCCCAGCTTAATTTTGAATGACATAAACCAGCCTGGCATACATGGGAGGGAAAGCTGGGCCAATTATCTGAAACTTTTTGGATTGTGAGGTTAGTTCAGATCTAGGATGACCCTTTTACTTCCTGGACTAGGAAAGGAAAGCTATTAATTATCCTAACAACTTAAAAAACCCTTGTTGACAAGAAACCTCTTATCTAGTGAAATTTTACACAAAAAATATGTGGTTAATATTCTTCCTTCTTAAGACTACCTGTTAAAAATTAATTACTCCCTTATCATAGTTTTTCATTTACTTCATACTTCAATTTTAGATTACAAAACTCTTAGAAGAATTGAGAGAGGCCAAAGAAAACCATACACCAGAGATGAAACATTTCATGGGCTTAGAAAAGAAAATTAAACAGATGGAAATGAGACATAAACAAAGAGAGCAAGAACTTCAACAGGTAAAGTAGTAAATCACATGTACATATTTGTATAGTTCTTTCACTTTGAAGTACCTCCAGTTTGCTGTAGTTTTGTCATCCCTAGCAAAACTTACTTTGTAAAGTGTTTCCATTATATATTGATCTTATTTAATAAATATATAGCTTTTCAGAGAAAAATGACTTTAAATCTCAAATACCTGAAGATTGGTTTGCCTTATATGTGAAGAAATAGAGAAACAACTTGTATCATGTTCTTATGTGCCTAGCACTAGTAATATCATTACTGTTCTTAATCACAAACAGATGAATTAATGGAAATTGAAAATGGCAGAAGGGCATGATGATGTAGTTTGGGGACTAGCCTTGGTGCTGATATTTAACTTTGCTTGAAAAAAGTTATGAATTTGTTATTATTTGGTTTGGTCTGACAAAGCAAAATATCAAACTGGGAGGCTTAAAAAACAAATTTTCTCATATTTTGGAGGCTAGGATTCCAAGATCGAAGTTCCAGCTGATTCATTTTCTAGTGAAAGTTCTCATCCTGGCTTGTAAAGGGCCTTTCCTCAGAGTGTGCACTGCAGGGTGGAAAAGGGAAAATAGAGAGAGAGAAAGCTCTCTGGTGCCTCTTTTAAGAACACTAATCCAACCATCATCTAATTATGTTTGGGGTCTCACCCTTGGGACCTCATATTGGCTTAACTAGTTCCTTACCCTAAATACAGCCTCACTTTGAGTTAGGGCTTTAACATATGAAGGGGTAGGAGGGTGGCACATATTCAGTCTAAATCAGTGTAAGTTAAATATTCTTTGCAAATAAAAATTACCACATCCATGCAAGCTTTATGATTGACCCGAGTTCCACAGAGAAACCCTAGGTCTATTTAATCATGTCAAGATGAATGAAATTCATTTCTCATTCTTACTCTTATTTGTGGACTTCTCTTAAAAACACATTGCATACCGAGAAATAATCATCCACAATAGAGTTAAAGCATCATAGGGCATCACTATTTATCCAGAACCCATCCTTGTGTGTCACTTTTTAATGCCTATTTAGAAAATGGTTGTAAGTTGTTGATAAATATGTAGAAAATTTTCTTTCTTGTTATAAATACTGTATTACATATAGCCTAATGACAATTATTTTGTAGTGCTATAAATGTGATTAATGTTACATATGTATTTATTGAAAAATTACATATACTAGTAAGGTGTCACAAAATTGTGTACACACAGTTTGAATAATTATAAAGGTAGTGTTTATTAAAATACATTTCATTTTCAAAATTGAGCTATTAGCTGTTAAGGTGTGTAGACACCTTTTGGGACAATTATTGCAATATGTTTTCTAATTTTGACTGTTTTATTTGCTAAAGCAATAAAGTGCAGTAGGATTTTAAAAATATCTTTGATTCATAGAGAAGGTGATGGATTTCAGTTTCATAGTAAAATGCTAAATTAAGATGTTATCTAAATGGCAACATTGGTTGTTCTGACTTGAGTTTCCCTCACAAAAAGACCAATTAGCAACCAACAATTCATAAACAAGGCAACTGTGAAAAATATCAAAACACAGGTGAGTCTGAAGTACTCTTTTGTCCCACAGAGACCAAGAAGCACTGCATTAAAAGGGTAAGAGGAGCAGCCACACTCTGACAGCATCGCCTCCCACAGGCTGGCGTAGCGCTGCACCAAAGGGTACCCTGCGGCCTACATTTTCTCCAGTGGGAAAAAGAGCCCAAGGTGAACATCCAGCTTGCCCACCACTGTGGGTTGCTTCCCAGGAGGCCCACTTAGTCTCACTTGTTGGAGATTTCAGGGCAGAATCTATGGGGCTCAACCACTGGCAATCAGATTGTGACTACAAAGTTCACCTCCTGCCATGGACACACTAAATCTTTAGCTACGAATAGAACAATTTCCTCTGGGGGTAGGAGGGGTGGCAGAGAAACAAAACAAAAAAGCAACTAGCTGAACAACAACTACACATCAAAGCAAGCTGAGACAAAATCTCACTAAAAACCTCCACCTCCAGCTAGTGACCTACAATATAACTAATAATTTCTTCAGGATAAAAAGATAGAAATTGTGACATCAAAAACAAAACAGGGAAGAAAAATGTAGGGCTTTAGAATGTGTTAAAACTTAAGTTGTCTTATGTAAATAATCCTCATGGCACCACAAAGATAAGCTTATAGTAGATACACAAAAGATACAAAGTACTCTAAGCATACCGCTAAGAAATTATGAAACCACACAGGAGGAGCACTGTCAAATATGTGAATTAAACCATGCGCTCCTAAACATTAATCATCAAAGAACAAATAAAATGAGATATTAAAGTATATATTGAGACAACTAAAAATGAAAATATACCAAACCTTATGATATGCAGCAAAATCAGTTTTAAGAGATAACTGTAGCAATAAATGCCTACATCAAGAGACAAGATCTCAAACAAACAACTTTATACCCCAAAAGAAGTAGAAAGAGAAGAACAAACAAAGCACAAAGTTAATTAGAGGAAGGAAATAAAGATCAGAGTGGAAATAAATGAGATAGAAACTAAAAGACAGTAGAAAAGGTCAATAAAACAATGTTGGGTTTTTAAAAAGATAAAGGCAAACCTAAAAGAGGAGGACTAAAATACATGAAATCAGAGATGAAAGAGGAGATGTTACAACTGATACCATATAGAAAGGATCATAAGACACTACTATGAACAATCAATGATAGGCCAATAAACTGAACAACCTAGAAGAAATGGACAAATTCCTAGAAACATTCGAACTACCAAGACAGAATCATAAAGAAATTCAAAATTTGAACAGACCAATCACTAGAACAGAGATTAAATCAATGAACAAAAATCCCTTAAAATTCCAATGGCTTCACTAGCCAGTTCTACAAATCATTTAAAGAAGAATGAATACCAGTCCCAAACTTTTGCAAATAGTATAAGAGGAGGGAACTCTCTCAAACTTGTTTTACAAGAGCAGCAATGCCAAAACTGGGCAAGGGTACTGTGGAGAAAAGAAAATGCAGAACAACATCTCCCATTGAGCATAGATGCAAAAGCCTCAACCAAATATTAGGAAACCAAATTCAACACTACATTGAAAGGATCACATATCATGATTATTCAAGAGATGCAAGAATGGTTCACCACCCACAAATCATTGATGTGATGTGTCACAATAAAATGAGAGATAAAAATTGCATGATTATTTTAATACATCCAGAAAATTTGACAAAATTCAAGTTATTTTCATGGTAAAACTCAAAAAATGGAGTATGGGGGGAATGTACCCCAATACAATATGGTCCCCACAGGTGGGAGGTGAGGATGGGTAAAATGATTAGGGGGTCAGATGTGCCAACTTCCAGTTAAAATAAGTCATGGATATGTAATGTACAGCATGTTGACTACAATTAATAATACTATTCTATATAATAAAGAGCTAATATGCTAACGAAGGTCTGGATGAAGCTGGGGCTGCAGCCGCCTCTGCTGCGATGGATCAAGGCAGGCCGTCGCGGCTGCGAAGGCCTAACCTCACAGGAATTTTGTGCATTGGGCCTCTAGTATTGTATATTTGAACTTTGTTAAATAGTATATTTTAAAATCTGATGTCAAGAAGCAGAGTAGGTAACCACTATGCTTGCCTCCTCTCACAACTGCGAACCACATAAAGACTAGCTGAACAAAAGTCGTATAACTAATGATATAATAAAGAAGCCACACAAGACTATAGGGATGGAGACACAGAATGGGCCGGTCCCACACCTACAGTGTGGTGATTCTTTAAGAATCAGGAGAGAGATCTCAGCTGTGGTACTAGAGGTGCCACCCAGATCAGACTCCCCATCCTAGGACACCACTGTAAGGAAGAGGAGGTTCCATAACTTCTTGCTGTGAAAACCAACAGGAATTGCACCTGAGTGCGACGGAGTGCTGCTGAAGAGCCAGGTGATCCTCTTGAGGAGCTGTGCACAAACTCACTTGCTCACAGACTCAGTCCCTTTGGACCTGAGCACAGGCAGAACAGCTCAAAAAAGCGCCAGGGAAATATGAGGGAGGAACTGAGCTGACTAGCTTCAGAGCAAGGGCAGCTCTCTCCAGGGACCAAAGCACTGGCAGGCAACAATGTTCTTCTGTTGAGCCCTTTTCCCACCCAGCTGGGAGATGCAGGCTGGGGCCAAATGGTAGCTCTCCATTAACCTGGCTGACACCATTCACCCCATCCTGGTGACTCCTAGAGACAATGCCCTTCCCAACTCATGCACCCAGCCTGAACATACCTCAACCTATTAAAGGCCTTGCATGGCAAACCCACAGCTAACATTCTCAATGGTGAAAAGCTAAAAAAAAATTTTTTTTGAAGATCAGGAACAAAACAGGGTTGTCCACTTTCACCACTTTTATTCAACACTGGAGGCCCGGTGTATGGGTGGGGTCCCTTGGCTTGTCCAGCCATCGGGGCCGGGGGGAGGGACCACGGGAGGTTGGCCGGCCATGGGAGTTTGGCTGTGGGAGCGCACTGACCTGTACTTGGAAAACTAAAGGCACTGAAAAGGAAACTAAAGTAGATACAAATAAATGGAAGCGTATACCATGCTCATGGATAGGGAGAATTGACCATTAAAATGTCCATGCTATTCAAAGCAATCTACAGATTCAGTGCAACCCCATCAGAATATAAATGGCATTTTTCACAGAGCTAGAACAAATAATACTAAAAATTACATGGAACCACAAAAGGCTTCGAATAGCCAAAGCACTTCTGAGAAAGTAGAACAAAGTTGGAAATGTCACTCTACCTGCTATCAAACATGCTACAAGGCTATAGTAATAAAAAGAGCATGATACTGGCATAAAAATAGACACATAGGTCAATGGAATAGAATAGAGAGCCCATAAATAAACCCATGCCTATATGATCAATTATTCTCTGACAAAGGGGGCATAATTTACAATGGGGTAAAGACAGTCTCTTCAACCAATGGTATTGTGAAAA